AACAGTTCTCTTTAAGACGTGGTCACCGGCAATGTTGTTTCTTCTACTTGCTTGCCAGTTACTTCAGTGATGCCTTCAGGACAGTCACATACAGCTGGTTCAAACCTGCATTGCTACTGTGTGCTGCGTACCTCAAGACTGACACCAGTGTGTCTTGTTGATGCATATGACCAGGGGAACCAAGAAATTGAAGTAAAGATGGGTTTTTTTAATTGTCACCTGTTCAGCAAAATGAAAATCACAGTAGTAAGTCCTATCACGTGGGTGTTTGCATAAATTATAGTGGCAGCTTAAACAATGAGTATCTGAGTATGAGGCAATCCTGAAGCTCTGAATCTAAAAGATAGGCTTGTGAATCTCTTGATTTCTGTTGGCTGAGAAAGCACCTGTAGCCATTTCCTTCTTCTTTTGTTTTCACTAAATATTGCATTATTCCTGAGTTTTGAGAAAGAAGTATTTACACTTCTATGCTGCACACCGTATTAAAAAAGTCTGTCTCTTCACTGACTGAAACAGGTCTGGTCTTCTCAGTTACTTGTATAGAACTTCTCGATTTTATTAGAAGTGCCCTGGACCCAGTCAAGCTCCTGTCATGCATGAAGTTTGCCACAGACAGGAAGGAGATACAGTTTCCAAGTCTGCTGGTACAGCTGTTGCCATGCCTGTAATGCACTGTTTATAAATAGAAAGGCAGGTAACTCAAAAGACTTGGTATTGCAAATCCTACAAAGTTTGTTCCTTCTATGGATTTTGCCTGACAGTTATAAAATTCTTTTTATGTGGTTTTTTTTTGCATAATTAAATGCTTTACTATATAATACTAGTCAAGTGGGAGCTGTGGCAATAAAAGGTTTATGATGCCAAAGGGTTTTCAGAGTGCTGATGCAGCCAGCTCCAAAAGGCTGTGGAAATAGAGACTCCTCCGCAGTGTAATTCAGTTCAGCCTCTCTGTATGCCGCAGGAATATACATACAAGACTAGCTTATAAATATTTGAGAAGGCAGGGTTGGATGGAGAAATCTGTTAGCTCCTTCAGCAGCCACATGTGTTGTCCAGAAGCGTAAGCGATTAACAAATGCTGTTCAGCTATTGGCAGACAAATTCCTTTCAACACCTAGGGAGCATTACACTGAGAGAATCCCAGCCTTCCATGACAAGTGTTTGCCTTGTCTTTGGCAAAAATTAAAACAGTAAAATAATGAGCCAAAAGCTCTTCAGGGAACTGCTTGCCGTCCCTGCAACTCCAACCAATGAGTCTTTCAGCTATCTTTGAAATGAGTAGTATAAGCACACTATGACAAGGACTAAGATGCTACTTTTTAATACTTCACTGCTCATCATCTCTGGTCTGCTCCAAATTAATTAGCTTAAACCATCATGCAAACGGGACCAGGCTGTAGAGGTGGTGTTCTGAATAAATGCATTTTAATTCTCAAGAGTGGTGGGAGATGACTTGAGAGTATAAATACATTCAGTTGTGACAGCTTGGTTGATGAGCACTAACTCATTAACTGATGATAACTTTTCTACCTACAGTCCCATATCCCTTCCTTTCTGACAGTTTTGCAAGTATTAACTTTAGTGCCTTATCCTCAATGGTGATGGAACCTGAAATGTTCCTGTAAGATCACAAAGATGGGGTTTCTTAGGTAACAGACTGAGAAACTGGGTCACACATAACAAGAGATTTCAAGCTGTCAATACCACTTTAGTTACAGTGGTGTATGGCATTTCATCCCTCTTACTTTCACTCTAATACCTGACTTTACATACCTACAGATTGTTAACCAACTGCAGTTCATCTGTTTGGGGTCTATAGTTCAGGGATGAAGGAACTATCTTCAAATATTGTCCATCCAACATATAAGTCTAGCAACTCGATCCTGTACCACAGCGAAGAACACTTTTACAGGAGATAATCTACCCTAGTAATTTGGCTTGGAAGAGTTACAGATGTGTCTGAGTGGTCTATGCAAAGGCATATTCATGGATCTGGAGTGGACAATGCTGCCACAGTTCCCAGGAAAGGAAGATTGAATCTAATAAATGTGAGAGGTTAGATCTGGTCTCTTCTACTTTGACAGTAGTTGTATAGTTTCAATATTCAGCAACGTCTTGGTGAATCTCAGTGAAGTTCCTCAGCTCATACTGAGAGCAGAGCTTCCTGACTTTGTTGGAAAAAATGTTTTTATTGATAGGAGGGTAAAGAAATTAAGAGCCACAGAAGAATGTAGCATCCTGTTTCCTTCAAAACACCTCTTATATTTTCTGGACCAATCCTGAAGTCTGTCCCATTCAATTATTCAATTCTTAGACAGTATGTCATATTCAGAAAATAAGCCATGATGTAAAGCTATTTCTTTTTTTTCCTTATTGTTTGCATCCTCAGATAATCAATTTGATTAGTTCCAGCTTAATAGTTTTGACATTTATACCACAGAAGTAAAAAAAAAAAACAATACGGGTTGATCTAATCAAAACATAACCATCAGTGGAATGCTACAGCATCTATCTCCTAAGAACAGAAGCAGTAAAAACCTTTAAGAATGTTTTGTGATTCTTTTTTTTTTTTAAAAAAAAGGGAAGGTTAACAGTACATTTCCCACCACCTGACATTTTAATTTAAGATGGTCGGTGTCTGTGAGACGTTACTGACTGGGGTTCAGCAGTTTCTAGATGAGATTCTCTGGACTATAAAATACAGGAGCATGACAGTCTCCCCTGCTCTTCAAACCATACAAAAAACTGTGTATGGAAATGAATGGTTTCTTTTAGTCAACTACTTAGTGTAGCCATGAGATGTCAGTAGAGACTTCTGTTTCTGTGCAAACCATTATAAAACGGAAAAGGTCTCTCAAATCAGAGCATCCAAATTATGATTACTAGCAATACAAATACCAAAGTGGGATGTAACCCATCAGTATATACTGCCACTGCTAATACACATCTAAAGACTGAATATGACAGTGACACAGCTGCTGTAAGGACTGGCAAAAAGGGAGGGAAAAGTTTGAGGGCACAGTTAGGGTTAAAGCTGTTGTATAAAACATAGGAGAAAGCTGTTACAGTAAAATAGCACTGTAATGCTTTAGTAAAAGTAAAAAGATATAATTTTTTGTAACCTAACTAGAATGTAATCCAGCAGTTAAAGACCTATAAACCTAAACCATGGATGGCTAAAACTCTGGAGGTCTTGAACCTGGCCTTCAAAGTATGTCTGGCTTCAAAACATCTGACCAAATTTCTGTAAACTTGCAATTTCTGGACCAACAACTGTGCCCACTTAGCAAACAAACTGGAGTACTGAGGGGGAGTCTCTCTTGAGAATGGTTGTCGTGGTTTGAGCCTGGTCAGCAGCTAAACACCATGCAGCCGCTCACCCACCCTCCCCCACTTGGGAATGGGGAAGGAATCGGGAGGGGCAAAGGGAGACTCGCGAGTTGAGATAAAAACAGTTTAAGAACAGTAATAGAATAATATGGTGACAGTATAAACGGGTAATGTACAATACAGTTGCTCACCACCCGCCAACCGACACCTGCCTGCTCCCAGCTAGTGATCCCAAACACAAAGGCCCCATGGCCACACTCCCCGAAGTGAGAGCCCCTCCCAGCTCACTCCTGCCTTTACGTAGTGAGCATAATGTCACATGACATGGCATATCAGCCAATCCGGGCCCAGCCCTCCAGCTGTGCTCCCCCCGCCCCCGTGCATAGGCAGGGCACTGGAGCTGGAGAGACACTGAATGCTCAGTGTACATCAGCACTCCTCCAGCTACCAAAACGAACATGAACTCTATTCCAGCCCGAACTAGGACAATGGTTATACCACCTCTGGGGACCGTTTGATTCTCTAATACAAAGCCAGAGCATTTGTTCTAACATTTTTGGTGCTGAGCTGGGGCAATTTAGTCTGTTAATATGAAAATGACAGTCAGGAGGCCAAGGGACATGTGATTTCTACTAATATATCTTGGCTAACTATGAACTGCTTCGCTGCAAAGAATTTACAGAATGAAACAGATGAAAGGATAGCTGTATTTATGAAGTAGGCTCAGTTTTCTTCAGATTTTGTTTTTCAGTTTTAAATAGTTGAAGCCATTGGATTTCATTTGCAAAACAATGCAAAACAAATGATAAAATTGGAGGCCAACATTACCTGAGATCCCAAGTTGTCAATCAAGCTTGGGAAAATCTAAGTCTTTTGGATCTCATGGGAGAGTTACAGTTTTCCTTTACAGCATCAGTGGGCAGGGACTCCATGCCTTGCTGTGGTCACCTTAATGGAGATGTCCTGGGCAGATTCTGGCTCTCCCTCGCTGCTGACTGACCAGGCATGGACCAGAGCATGTCCTGTTTGGTCTCCAACCTGCCATCCTTTTAAATTTGAAAGGAGAAAATTATGAATCATGCATGTCTGAATACAGTCAGATCTATTGGTTTTGGATTAACGATCAAGAAATGTATAGAGCTACTGTAACTGAAGCTATGTCTGAACCAGCAATGTCCCCTTGATCATCAGTAGTCATCTGCAGCTTTTTTACCCTCAAGGATTCCTTTGATGTCCCCTATCCTTCTCTGCCATCCCCTGAGGAAGCCTTTAAATTAGTGACTAGTATTGGCCAGTAGCTCTGTGCACTCTACCTGCTCAAACACTACTGCTCTGCTCAGTACATCTGTTTTTTTTCACTTTAAATGCAGCCAATTACCTATGAGTTTGCAATTCACCAGAAAGTAATGGGAACAATCAGTGTCCACATCTCAGTAACACATTTTGGGGAAAATACAGCAAAGAACTGGGTATTAAATAAACATTAGTTTCAGTAAGAGCAAGAACCTGATAAGGCAATCTGTATCAAATTGCATAAAGTCCTTTCTAGGATGTTTTCTCTTTCTAGCATAATTCTTCAAAATGTTCAAGGCTTATCTGACTATTCCAAACCATCTTTTTTTCTTTGTATTCAGAAGGAATTTCAGAGAATTTCAGGCATTATACAAATATTCAGGAGCAGAAGATACTCTTTATTACCATTGTGCCAGGTATTGCAGGAAACCAGAATGAGAAATATAGGAAAGCCATGGAAATGAGAACTGTTCTAATTCAATAACAGATTCATTGGCTTTCTAATTAGGTTTGATCACTTCACTATTTTACATTGTAGCTGAATAAGTATCTTATAAATACCTACCACACATGACACAGGCACTTCAAAAGCATCTAATAAACTGTAGAATAGATCTGCAGAAAAGGTTAAAGAAAAATATGTATCTTAGTTCTTCCATATCTTGGTAAATAATTCCCATCTCCGAGATGTAATTTTATTTAATTTTACAACATTCAAAACCACTGTAAAATAATATCTGTAATAAATATTCAAAAAATAACTCAGATTATATTTTACTGTTACATCTTACAGTAATGTCTGAGTAACACCATACAAATTATAAGTAGCTTCACCAACACCAAACCATAGAAATATTGCATTTTACATTTCACTTAAGCACATGGAATTTTGGCTACAAATGATTTTTTTCTTGTTCTTCTTATAGAGCTGATTTGGTATACTTTAACTTGTAAAATGACTCAATTAAACAGTCTGAACATAAGGCAACACAGAAAATATGTGAAAATCAATGTGGGAGCAAGTGAGAATTACGAAATTGTACTGGCTATTCACTGAATTTCTACTGCTAAGTCTATTCAGGATTTCTAGCCTTATTCCATTCTGATAACAAGCAAGGTCTGCCAACTAAGGTCTTCAACTGGGATTCAGAAAATCAAGTTTCATGTGACCTTGGACAGATTTCTGCCTCAGTTCTCCATTCACAGCATGGTAGTAATAATGTTTCCTTATATCTCCAAAGACTGTAAGCTCTCAGAAGCTCCCTGCCACTATTTTTTATTAAGTAATTGGTACGGTGGGACTAAGATTAGAGCTGAGCTCAGTAAGAGTAAATGTGCAATCTTTAACACAAGTCACAATGATAAAATTGTTCTGATACTTAACAGAGGTAGCTAAATGATGCCCTTTGCACTACTGGAAAAAGTACAAGGGACTTGCCCAATGACACAGTGTGCCTTGCTGACACAGCTCCTGAGTCACAGTCTTGAACTGTAATATGCTGAAGTCCTCCAGAAATACATGATCTGGCAGAAATGTAGTAGAGATGTTAATACATTAAAATCTTTATTCAAAGCCACAGCAGTCAGGGGAAATTTTCTTCATTAACTTGAGTGGGCACTGAAATAAATTTTCTCTTAAACACTATTACCCAGAGGAAAAACTAATAAATAGATTGCTTGACACCTAAGATTAAATTCAGGTATCCTGTGCATTCAGTTTTACTCAGCAGTTTTCAGCACAAGTTAAACATATTCTATCACAAACCATCTGCATACATCATGACCATGAAGCATCATCAAAATTGCTAAATAAAAACTGGGAAATGCATCAGATTCATCTTCTGCATTACAGAATTGAAAAAGCAGATAGTAATAAGCTGAAAGATAAGTATGTAGCCTGAGCATCTGATAGATTGGGGCTGGCTACAGTAGTTCGTTAAAACATCTGGAAAAGCAGCTGTATCTTTCTCTTGCAGTACACTCATCGAACTGCACTTGAGAACTTCACCATCAGTAGTCACTACTGTCTGCCGGAGAACTAATATCAAGTCATTCACAGTATCTATGCCTTACATCATTTCATTTTATTACAGCACCAAAGCACAATTTTAGAAAATGACTAATTTCTTTGTTTTCACCCTGTAAGTAATGATTTTAGGAAAGAGAACATGATGTTGTGTCTCTCCTCAGATGTTACACATAGCTGGCAGGGATTAGGCTTCTGGGGTTCTCTGGTTTCTCAAATCATCCCATTGTTGTGTGTTGTCCCAAAGAAATAGTGCTATTGTGATACAGGAGAGAGGATGGCCTCTTTGGGGAGATATGAGGGAAAAGAAAGATCCTGTAAATACAAAAGGTGTACACCAGAGTAAAGATTAACATTCACTTCACTGGATGTCCTAGGCATGCCCTAGTGTTGGGGATAATCACTGGAGTTCTCCAAATACTCTGAAGTTCTTCCTATTCTGGATCTTTATTTTCAATTTCACTTTGTGCAACAAAACCAAGTGTGCAATATTAACTGAGGATATTTACACCTCACACTCTTCCTAGGTTCAGGTGTATAGACATCATATATCCCCATGGTCCTCCAAAGCCAGCAGGAAGATCACACTACCTACCACAGAGCAGCCATCTCAGAGCAGCTCTGCTGGTAAAGGCTGCCAGCAGGACTGGAAACGTAGACAACCTTAATAGGATTCTCAGAGGAGAAACCAAAAGCTAAGTGGACTGTGCATACTGGCCTGCAAGTTACTCTGAGGCACTTTGCTGGGACAGCAGGAAGGATAAAAGGAAGCAAGAAAACTGCCTTGGTCTAAGCAATGAAGGGAGATGTTTTATGAGCTGCCAGCTGAAATTATTTTGGTAACTAACACTACGGTGTACTTTCTTCTAAAGTCACAAGGGTTTCCTTATTGACAACACTCAAAATGTTTTACTGATTTATCAGAATCTTTGTGTTCTACAGCTAACTGCGAGGAAAAGGGTTTAAGGCAGCTGAAGATACTCAGTCACAGCCTTGTCACCAGGTGGACCAAGCAATCCACATTTTTAGGCTCTGCAGGGTTCTGTTGTTGCAATGACACCTGTTGATCATAACGCCTGCTCACGTCGCCGTTTCAGACCCACAACTCTTGCTGCCAGGAGAAACACAGCCCCAGTGAGCACTTCTGCGACAAATGAGATCCAGACTAGTGCCAGTGACCAGCCAAACCTGATGTCAATTTCTACCAGGAGATCCTTACTCCTCAGGAGGCAGACAGCTTCTTTGAAGGCAGCAGCTGAATATGCAATATAGACACTGATCCCAGTAAGTGTAACGAGAGCTGAGAAAGAAAAACATGTTCAGCAAGTTAGCATCCACTGCAGAAATTAAAAACAATTAATTGGATATCTCTCAGGGCTTCTCTGCCACTACTCCCTATCTACCCAGGCCAGATTACCAGTTAGCCTCTCTTTACCTTTGAAATCTAGTTGAGGCTGTTTTGGGGGGAATGGTGAGAGTGAAGTAAAGGGAGGATTTTTTCTGTCCATTGAGTTTAATGTGTTCTCATTGTTAAATACTGAATCAAGAGGTATAACAGCAAGCCTCCCACAATAAAAATCTAGTCATGTCTTTTACAAATATTTAATGCATGTACATCTCTGTTTTCTATACTGTCTTACAATGCATCCTGATTTCTCATTGCTGAGCACCGTGTATAGTTGTCTACCTCTATGCAAGAAAGCCCCTGTATACAGAGATTCTTGTATTTCTGTGACCTGAATTTAGGCTGTTTTATAATTTTAAGTATCGTAAGTTTTGAGTGTTCAGTGTAAAAGTGTTAGTCTTTACTGTCACCTCCCACCAAGTGTTGTGAAGTCATGACTATTCATCACTTCCAAACAATTAAGCCAAAAACATCCTTGGAGCAGACTAAAAATAAATTAACAAAGGCACTCAAACAAGAAGCCAGATGTTTCCAGAATGGAAGGACTGAACAGAAGCTAGCAAACTTAGGGAATTGCACATCTAGCACAAGTGCATGCTACACCCTGGGCCTGGCATTTATGTCACTCAAAGGATGTATACTAACTAACATCATAACTTTACTGGATTGGTGGCAGGAAAGATGTGATAGAAAGGCCCTGGATTAAAGGAGTGTAGCCCAGGGTAAGTAGATACTGGAACACTTGTAGGACAAGATAGTGTCTTATCTAATTCTGAGGGAGAAAAATTTTGGTCTGGCTTTCTGTTTAATCACAGTGTAAGTCTAGATGGGTCTGCATTTTTTCCAGAAAGACAAGTTTGAGTAGAAGCAAACCAAGACAGAAGAGTATTGGGTTATGTGACAGTCAAAATTCATACTCATAGTCCTGATTTTAACCATGATGTGATGCCTGTACCTTATTGTAGTCCCCTGCAAGGGTGTGGAAAATATCACTTTATACCTTCTGTCAGCAGAAATGGAAATTACTGTTTTGATGACATTTTCAACAAGGTATGCTGAGTTCTGTGATCCCCCTTAAATGTGGCCACATTTCAAAAAAATGTAGAACATATTGGTTCTGATATTTTCAAAAAACCTCAGGCTTCTGGAATTCCATCATAAGCTATTTCTTTCTGTTGAGACAGAACTAACTAATCAATACCAACTTTGTGAACTGAAATATCCTATAAAACTGTGCATGCCCACTACCTCCATCAAGCCTCCATGCAGCTGAAACAGCTGAGCAATACCACCTGAGCAGGAGGAGGGTCTGGTCTCATGACAAAGGCCACCCTGCAGTCTGTTCACACTGTCCTGGGAAACAGCACTAGTTGCATCTTCAGAACATATTCAAGCACTCCTCTCCTAGTACTGCCTTTGTGTTTCCTTTCCCTCTTTGCAACCCCAAGTGTCTTAGAAAGGTGCAGTACTCCACTCCTCAGTGGGATAATCATGCTTTGAACTTCACAGCTTTTCATCTTTCACTTACTGTTTGGAGTAGTTTTCAAATAGCCTCAGCCTTTTTAGTGAATACATCTTTCTGATGTTCTAAGAAAATAGAACTTACTTTTTTTTTTTTTTTCCAGAAGAAAAGCAGAATGGGGTATGGTTGGTCTTTGTAAGAGCATTTCAGATGAAAAAGGTCAGTCAAGACTTTGAGAGCAGCATTTGCTTCCAGCAATCTGTTAGCATTCTCTTCTTAAAAACAGGACTGTATGATCAGGTGATGAGGGCCAATACTGAGCATCCCCTTTTCTGTTGGGCAAAATTTCTCTTTCAAGTTACATTGTGAAACGGTACTGAAAATCTATTTGGAGAAGAAGATGTAAATGGATTTAAACCCAGTCTTCGTACTTTGACAGAATGTTTTTAGTTTTAATTCACAAATTACTTTCTAAAACACAGAGGTTTTGGTTACAGGAAAAGTAACAGAAAATGAAATGTAAAAGAATTTTACTAGCTTCAAATTGAAATGTTACACTGCAACTGAAATAACTCTGGGGTTTCCTTTTGTGAACCACAGTTTGGGGACACCACTCTAGTTCAAAACTAGCAGTGAAGCTAACTCAGGAATGCCTAGCAAGACCCTTTTCAGGAACTCAATGCAAATGCCCTTGAAAAAACTGTCAGTTTTATTAATAGTTGTAAGATCTGTGCAAGGCTATTGAACACTATGCTTTACTAATTGCAAAGTCACTTCTCCATTACTCCATTACCCTGTCCATAGAGAATTTGGGCACTGTGTTGAGAAGGTATTAAATCTTTTGTGTTAATGGGCAAAGCAAACACATTGTGTTCAAAGTGTGATTCACTCCACAAGGACATATGGTTATGTGTGATTATTTGCCGTTCCTGACTTTAAGTGGCAGCTTTCTATTCCAGAATCCCATCAGGAGCTGAGCAGACACCAAGTGAACAAATGCCAGCATTATTCAGAAAGCAAACTCTTGATTAGCTTTTTTCCCCTTGAAGACAAAGTGATGTTTCCCAGATATAATCTCTTATTTAAAACAGTTAAGCCGGGGGGTTGATATAGTACCTCCAAAAAGAAAAAGCAGTCCTGTCATTAGAAGCAGTAGGTAGGCCCTTGCAAGAATACTGATGAATCCAGTCATTCCTCCAAAAATCATCAATATCAGGCTGAGAGGCATCAGGATGACAAATGTTCCATGCATGTCTGAAGAAAAATTAAGAATGTTAATATTTTAATATTTCATTATGGTGTCATTGGATATGCTAACAATTATTGTGTGCAGAGCCCCTGATCAGGATCAAAGCCTTATTCTGTGCTGCACAAACAAGAAGCTGGTCAATATCTTGGATTTTCAGGCAGGACAAGTATATGTGATGGAGAAAAAGGTAACATACAGAAAATGCCCTTCACAGGATCACAGCCTGTGTTCCAGAGACCACAAATATAAAGGATATGTCTACATAGTTATATTTAAGCAATTAAAGTGTTCTCATATATTAAGCCTGTCTGTATAACAGGTGAGGTATTGTATATCAGGTAGTCACTGACAACCGCAATAAAAAGTAGCCCTGGTTATCTGAATCATACAGATCACAGAGAGTGGCATTGTTTTGTTTGGGTGGTAAGATCCAGCACCTGCTTTGGTTAAATGCTTTCTTTTCTGTTTCTTTGTTGCAGCTGACCATCAACCAGACATAAATTTTCCCATCCAGTTCTGGTTCTCTGTCTGTTCTTGTTTTCTACAGCAGCTTCACTAAGTACATTAACCTATCCTGGTTGCTTCCTCCCATGCCAAATGTTTTACATTAGTCTTTCTTGATCCCTATAACATTTTAATGGCTGTGTAAACAGAGGGTTGCTATGTATTTTTTCATACCACATTGGTTTTTTCCATCATAAACCACCTCTGTGTCATTGTTACCTCTCATGCAATCTAGCTACAATGTTCAACCCAACCTTTTCTAGAATAACCAAAAAAAAAGTAATTCCAGCTTCCAACGTCCATGTATTTCATACCAGACTGAAGTGCAGCGTTACTGAGAAAGGAAAACTTAAAGACCATTTTCTGAACGGCTCTAGGCTCCAGTGTCTCTTTTAATTTCACAAAGGAACAATAATGTGCCACTAGCTGATTTCCAAGGAAAAACAGTCAGTTAAGAGATCACAGTTTGTGTGTGATCAAATGAACAATGTTTTTACTCCATCTGCCACTGGCTAAAGATCCAGCTTATCCTCTTCAATATCACTATGAACATAAAACACAGTCATGTACATATCTCTGTTCAGTTCTAGAACCTTGGAAGTTTAGGAAGAACCTGCATGGGATCAAGGCAGTCACTGTTAATTTCTTTACTTGAATGGAATGTGATTTCAGGACATAATTATTTGTTTTGTGTAGCACAGAACATGCAAGAGAAAAAGTTCTGGGAAGTGATCCAATTATTCCAATTTCCATTTATGTACACTGGTATTATATTCTCATATTTAGTCCCACACATGCTCACCTCACAATCAGCTGATTCTCAGAAAGCATGAATTCAGCATTCTGCATTGAAGGGAGCACTTCCTCTCCTTGCTTCTAAATCTGAGGATACCCCTTGGCTTTCGCTGCTGTTGTTGGCTAAGAAACCCAAACCTACATCAATTCTCAGATGCTAATGGTCAAATCAGTCTTCAGCTTACTGCATATAAACCAGTATGTCAAAACTGTTTGCAAATCTTAGTTGAATATCAAGCGGAGAAATAGTCATGAAATTTAGTTCAGGAGGCTTATATGGTTAGAAGTGGTTGTCAGGGATGTGATGCAACATGATGTGACAGAATAGAAATTTGGCACACAATTTAGTTCTTATATTCTACCAGAGGCAGCAGGAACAGACTAGTCTTCTTCCCCGTTTGTGCTTCCTGAGGGTAGGCCTGATTTTTATTCCACACCATTTTGACATCCATGTGTCCTCTTAGATTTGGTCTTGCATGTAAGAGGTGAAAAGGCCATGGGGGGATAAAATCTGATGCCATTAATGTTTTAAAAGTAAGAATGTAAGAATGGTGCAACTCTGTCCTCAGACCTGGCTTTGCTGGGAGAGAAGAAACATAAACAAAGTCATCACTGGTTCTGTGCTTTGTGATTTTCCAGGTGTCCCTCACTAGTCAAAGTTGCTGCTAAGAAACTATACCTCAGGACAGTAGCACTAACAGTTGCTATTTCTTTGACTTTCCTTTTCATGATGTGATTTCATCTACTGTAGCTAGGACTGTACCCTTAGCCAGCACAAATGCGGGTGAGGGAGATAAGGCTCTTAATGTAACCTTTTGAAGCAAAGGGAAAACAAATCCATACGAGAGTATTCTCCTGAGGAGAGTCATAGATTACCTTAATGATCTGTGACAGCTGCATGCAATATCAGAATAACTCTGATTTTCATGACCTCTTTGGTAAAAATACAGGTTTTAGGGATATCTGAGCTGAAACCCATAAATTCCACTGTGATAGAGCTTTACTTTTCCTACAGGCAGCTGGGATCACATTTCTCATGAATCACCTACAGCTTTTTTAAAATCAAATTCTTAATGGATTGTATTTGGTTAAACAGCATTTTATCACCTCTAGTGTCCTAGTTCAATACCTAATACCCATTTGTCCTTCTGTGACATTTGCAACTGCCTGAGAAACTTATTCTAAAATGCTGCCATGGAAACCACTCAGGAATCTGTATTTATGCTGCCTGGCCTATGATATTATGCCATTATATTCCTTGATTAGAGGGACAGAATTAGTTTATAGAAGGACATGACTTAAAATATCTTTACTGTGTTTCTGTCTTCAGTAATCATCTGTGAAAGAACTTAAAGCATTAATTTTGCAGTCATTTTATTGTTTTTTTCATTGTGTTGAAATAGATATTTATGAATTATGTATTATACATATAACTGTCTTAATTTTTATTAAATTAATCTATTAAAATCTATTAATCTATTAAAAAAAAAAACCTAAGCATTTTGTATGAGGTATGCACACTTCCCTGTAAAACAGAATTCAGTTTCCCACATCTATTTCTTAATGCCAGAATTCCCTGTCATTCCAACACCAAATACCCAATAGTTTCATCTTGAAAATACTGAAACAAACTGCTGAACATTTCAAAAACACTCCAGCTTTTTGTAGCAAAAAATATTTTAATTGCTTGATCTGAGTTAATGAATTTTTTCATCAGCTAACCAAAACTGTTTTACTGCAGGTCTGAACAAATGTTTGTAAGAATGACATCTGCACTGTGTGTCCAGATCTGTGAATTTGGCAACCATTTCTAAATTACCACTCAACACAGTTGTTGATGAGTTGTTTGTAACAGAAATCAGTGGAATGAACTAAAAAAAATGAATGGTTTCAAAAGTAACCAACTGCAGGTCTAGCAGTTTTGTTAATCATCTCCTGTTAACATGCTGGAGCTTAATTGTTTCAAACTAACTTCAGATTTGTTTGCACAGTTTATAATAGCAAATAGTCTCTAGAAATCTGTAATAGTCACCTCATCAGAAATACTCCAAATGGCAGCAGGTCAGAAGAGCTTAATTAAGGACTTGTTTACCCTCCCCAGCAGTAACTAAATATCTAGTTAGAAAGACAAAAACCTGTAGCTGAAACAGAGTGCTGGCAGTAGCTACAGCCAGTGGGACTGCTCTAGAAAGACTTGACAAAGCCAGGAAGAAACAGTGCACTGAAAAAGTCTGACCTGCTTGCAAGGAAGGAAGGAAGGAAACAACTTAGGGAAACAATGAGCAACAGAAAAGAACTGCTGTCTGTAGCTAAATGTGAGACTTCTGGGCTTGAACCCCAGGGACATGAAGGCCTGGATTCTCTCCTGTTCAGTAGAGAAAAGATGATGTTGGAGGAGAGCTCACAGGCTTAGGGTAGCCCAGGATAATTAGCTAAGCTCTGGACTTTGTGTTACATGTTTTGGCTTTGTGCTCTTCTCATGCAACAAGTCTCTGAGCTAAACTGGAAGACGAATTGCAGATAGTAGAAATAAAATGATGCTAGACTTGGTACAGGTGGGCACTGACAAAAACAGTAAATACTAGGAATGGATAGAATGATAAATGTAAGCAATGCACTGTAGTTCACATTCTATTGCTGTGATACCGATGAATTTGAAAATGAGAACATTAATCAGAAGTTGTCACTCATTAGGTCTCAGCTGCAGGGATACTAAGTTTATCTCAGATTTCTGTATATATTGATTGTAATATCTACTGTAAGTACCAAAGCAAATGTTCACTGGAACCTCGTTGAAGGACTGTTGCACTGGTGTTCAGAAACAAAGATCTGTTTAGGTATACACCTGCCGTATCAAGTTAGAATTTCTACGTACATTATTTGGGTCTTCTTTCACTTGGCCCCTGAACTGGCTCTTGCCAGGTATTCCTGCCCTAGCTGTTTCCTTCTGATTACTTAAAACCAAAAGGAAAAATTGTGAAAACTGTAAATCCCCCAGGAAAGAGGTAATGACAGTCAAAGAATAAGGCATTCTGGGATTATAACATTACAATCATGTAACAGTAAAAATGAAACAGGCCCATAAAGAGTGAGAAGTGTGAGAGCAGCTGGTTAGTGACTGTTACAGGGTCCACATGCTGTAAGGAAATCTAGTCTAGTTTAACTGTACTATTAAACTACTTTTTTGAGGAAGACACCAAGGCAGCTGTTATGTTATAACAACTGAGGTATCAGTAACCACCCCTACAGCAGATTGTTTCCCTGCAGGAAGCACTAACTTGTCTGCAGCCTCATGGTTCCAGACACATTAATGTCTACAAAAGAAAAAATAAAAATACTCTAGGGAGAATAATTTAAGCAGTTGTGCATGGGCAGCTTCACACTCCAGTCTTGGATTAATAATAAGAAAAACATATTATTCCAGCCATATGTAACTGAAAACCACATCCATTAACTGATCATCTCTGGATGGCTCAGGACTAGATGAGAGCACTAAAAAATGACTTGTAACAGGAAATCAATCACTGGCCATGATGTTCATGTCACTAACAAAAAATTAGCATTGTCAGAGGCTTAATAATACCTTGTAGGTACCTAATGCAGCTGGTTTGTGTGTCAGGGGCAAGCCAGGCAGCTATTAAGAACTAACAGTAGTTCCTCTTACGTTATTTTTCATAGCACTAGCCCCAGTTCTGTAGTGTAGATTGGACCCTGTACCAGTCTGGGGTGTAAAGATAAGATTCAAGAGAAATTATCTGTTTTGTAATTTTGCATCTGTTTGCATCTTTGGACCAAAATCCAAAACGGCCTCTTAATTTTTCCCAAATAACATGTTATAGATGTTGCTTTCATGTGCCAAAAAAAAAAAAAAAACAAAAAAAAAACAAACCAACCAACCAAACAAAAAGCTCTGTGGCAAATTGGTTTTAAGAGGATGGGGAGAAGCCACACACAAAAAAAAAAAAACTCTAAAGTTGAACAAATTTCACCATGCCTTGAAAAAACCTTAGCCATAGATTTCTAGGATCAGCAAATCTTATAGCATTTACTTGAGAAGAATGTAGATGGAAGTAATTTTTATGTTACCAAGCAGGGGTCAATATCCAGCCTTAACTGAGACACATAGGAACAGGTTACTTGAGTTTCCAAAAATTCGATCTTTTAGGAGAGTTTTGACAGGATACATTGATATCCAGAAAACACATTACTTTCTTCTTCAGACAGCTCATCTGTCCTGCAAGAAGTACTTGAACAAAGTTGAAAGTACAGACTGATTTTGATTAGAAATATTTACAAAATTGTTCATTTTGCAGGGATTACACTGGTGCTGTCTATAGCTAAATCTATACTGGTATTTACTAATTATTAACAATACAGACTTTGGTAAATGAAAAATACTTATATTACAAAAATGCCCAAGAGTAACTTTTCCCCAATGTAACTTGTTGGGTTTGTGGGTTTTTTTGGAAATAAATTATCTTACAAAGCTGTAAGATAATTTTCAGTCGACTTAATACTGCCATTCCTTCTATGCATCACCTTCCCTCTCTCTGTATCTGATCCTCAACATTTAGATGTGATTTTGAATGTTATATTTCTTCTACTGGGAAATGGCAAAGCTTCTCAGAACTCCTGATGCAGCTTCCTTTGAATTCAGAATGACATTCTTCTTTTACCATTTAGTGAGAGATGGATTCAGCTCATCATGAAAAAAAAGTTCTTTCTGCTTGTCTCCCATAGCTGGCACAGGGGAACGCATGTTAAGACAAGATACCTGGGGTGTCTTTGCTGACAGATTTCAGTTTTAAAGATGACTTTCAGAGGACTATCTTTAATCCTAGTAGTCACCAAGAGACCCTAATAACTGTCTCAATTGAACAGTGACACTCATTTTAATCTTTTATGGGACAGAGGAAAATGTACATCTTCAGCAAAAAGTGTTTTTTTTTAAATGCAGAAATTTCAGAAAAATCTAGTGGTAGGTTGTCTAGTGGTATATTTATTTAGGCAGTGGCTGATGTTTTAAACAAATATATAACCATGCCATAATGTAATCAGCAGTAGGAAAATATTTTATACATTGTGAGTTTGAGGAAGAGAGAGGGTATACACCATATGTTCAGCTGGAGGTAGTAGTAAGAAAAGAAATGGAAGCTTAATGTACATGAGAGGGCATGCTTGTGTCTAGTCCATTAGAGAAATTGCTCTAGACTACTCCTGTGATGTGAAAATACATCATACTCTCAGGTTTAACAAGACCTAGGTTGATTGCCTGAGTAATATTGCTGGTAGCACAACACTTTGTATACCCAACTTTGTATATATATTTTTTTAATTTGCCAGGAGCTCTATTCGAAGAACACAATAAGCCTAAAAGGAATCTGCTGGGGATGAATAGGAAAGAGATTGGAAATGTGGAGGGAGGGAATGTGAAGGCTTTTCATTCTCTAATTAAGGGTTTGTCTTCTGGCAGTGACCAGCACTTCTGTTTCCACCTAGACCCAGCTCTTTGCACTCAGGTGCAAAGATGTGACTTTCTCACATCTTTTTGGCACCTGTGTCTAGTTAAGACATGCCAGAAAGAGTATGGGAACTCTGAAGAATGGGGGGTGGTATTCCCAATGTGTTACTTAAGTGCCTACATTAGGAGACAGCCCTTTAAATCTTTTTTAGGAATAATCAGCAAGAAATATGTTTGATGTTTCCAGAGCTCTTGAAATTCAGTCTGCCAATCAAACCATGAGAAATATGGGTGTACAGCTAGACAGAATTAGATTAATTCCATGTGAATGTGCCTCACATGGACACCTGCGCAGCCACACACAGAGAAAATAATGATTTTTTGAAGTAACTGATTAAAGCTGTGGAATCAGCCTGTTTGCCCCATATAGCAACACATGAAGAAATTGCTGTAACTACACTGGAATCCACAATCCCAGAACTGTCCTCTAAAATTCTAGTTAAAATGTGTTGGAGATGAAGGTTTGCCCTGATTTGCCTAAATATGATTCAGTGACCACAGTGAGCAAATATATATGAAATAAGTGTAAGGCTGAAGTAGAAGCTAATATCTCAGTATTTAACAAACCTAGATGTAAGTTAGAAATATCTGTATTTCCTAGAAGTAATAATTAATGACATGGCTATTCCTATGTTCAGCAGCTATTGCTGTGCATCAGTAGCCTCACCACACCGAAACTGCATTGAAGCTGAACATCTAAAATACCAAAAAGTTCACTCTGTAGTGCATTATAATCAAACCTAGTAGGTTCTTTCAATGAAAGTATCTTTGATTTCTTACCTCCTCATTTTAGGCAGACTGAGCCTGTTTATAATAAAATCTGCAAGTGTCTTTGCAGATCTGAAGTCTTTGTGCAGGAACCTAAAACCAGTACCTGATATGACAGTGAGAGAGAAAAAAATTCTCTGAGGCTCTGAAGAGTCTGTAAACATAGTTATGATTCCAATTTTTACTCATATTCACTATTTTCTTACACTTCATGTCTACCAAAGAGCTGTCTTTTGTTTCCAAGCCAACGTCATTTCTATAATCAAGAGCTCTATATAGTCTCTGCTTTTGTTTTTGCATAATTCAGTTTCATTGAAGAGCTGTAATCTAAAATCTCCTCACCTGAGAAAAATCACATATGTATGTTTTGCAAATATGAACGCAATTCTTGAAATGCTAATAATTTTGTCCTGAAATTTTAGACTATCCCAAATATAATAGTTGAGGTTCCCACACCTAAAACGTGATCGGTCTGGTTAAGTTCAATTAACTTTGAACCCTCGAAGGCTAAGTGATCAGCAGACAATCACTTTCACTGATCCTCAGAGTTTTCAGCAACATCAGGCAACTAAGGCCCTCTGTCTTAAGGAAGATTAAAGAAATGACACCTTTCAGTTTGAAAGCACAGACATACAATCTGTGCCGTTAGTCTTGAATCTGTCAAGAGGTTTACACGGCTGTTTCAGTAACCCACTGGGATCTTATTCCTACTCTAACTTCTCAGTTACTGTTGCCACACAGCTACATTACCATCAGCACCTCATAGGCTTACTTTGCCACATTTGCTGCACTTTTACCTACATCATGAGATGCTGCTCCAAGAGACTGAAGACACTCTAAGCCTCTCTGAAGGATTGCTCAGGGAAGTAGCTGGTTTTGAGGGAAAGAGTACCATTTTAAGACACAGGACAAACACTTATATTCTGCTTGCAACGGTAAAACAGCCAGAGTCAGAGAGGAGAGGTAGGTAGATAAAAAAATTTTAAAAAGCAAGCCCAAATACAAGCTCGTATGAGCAAAGCATTGTGCAGAATATGATGCAAAGAAGCTAAATCATTTTCTAGGAGAAGCCTAAAGGTATTTGAAACTGTTTAGTTTGGACTTTCTGAAAACATTCTGACACTGACAAATGAATCTAAAGAGAAAGAAGTAAATAGCAGGCAACATAGTTAGAAACTTAAAATAATCTTTTGAACATGTTCTTCAAAGACTTTAAACACTGGTTTTAGTCATTCATTTATTTTCTTAAATTCCCACATACTTAAGGTTTTTTTCAGTGCAAGGAATCCCATTGAAAGGGTAGACAAGTAGGTGTCTTAACAATTAGTTTAGTGTGTGCTTAAGCATTTTCAGTGATCAAACTCTTTTGAGGGGATTTTGAACATTTTTGCCTTTTATTTTTAACAATTGTGTACCTTCCTGAGCCATTCCAGGCAGATACATCTTGCTCCTGTGGAAGAAATTAGCTGCACTTGACATCAAATACATGGTTATTTCAACAGTAATCCCACTTAAGACCACATGCAGTGACAGATATTGTACAGAAGCAGAGTCAAAACACTATCTCAAAGTGCTCCCCCTCTGAATCAGAAATGAGATCTCATAAGTGGCCAAGGAGGGAGGGAGGGTGAATGGAAATACAGAAATAATATAGAAGTTACTCACACAAAAGCTGTCTGTGTGAATCGGTGATGTTTGCATTCTCATGCCAGAAAGGGTTTATCAGAGGGTAACATTCACTCCTCACTAATAGAGAAGGGAAAAAACAATGAGAAAAAATTACTCTATAATATCTTATTACAGTATATCCTCTTTTTTTTTTTTTCCAAGTACATATAATTCATATAATATTATCAGCTTTTAAAACAGTCATTCCTAGGTAGGGAAGGAAAGGAAGGGATTTTCAGTACCCAGCATTGGCCAACTTCTGCTCCCTTGGGGCCTGACCACTGAAGTCAAGAGGGAGAAAGCTGCTCATTTCAGTCGGACTCAGGGTACAGCAAAGGAATGTAACTACAAATAAATCCTCTAACCTGCTCCTTCTCCCCTGCTCCACTGGAAGTAACATCCCTCCTTGGTTATGATGAATGTTACTGACTCCTTGGTTTTAATGGTGGAATCATAGTCAAAAATAATATGCCTGGCATACAAATTAAACTAAATGGGGAAAATCCTATCATACCCACATAGGATTTACAGATCTTTCATTAAAATCCAAAACTGTGAAACACCAAGCAAGACCAAATGCAGTACAATTACTTGGTGAACCTGGTGACTCTTTAGTCTCTTGCCTTTAGTTAGTATGGAATTAAGTTAATTTTATTTATATTACTTATAGATATACTTTTCAAAGTAGTAATATTTACATTGATAGCATTTGTACTAATATTACTTATGTATATAAACGATATATTGTTTAATGTTATTTATATTATTATTTATCATTTTAATGGCTTTAGCCCAGCACTTTTGCCCCTTAACTCCCCCTGAGTCAAGTGAAAAGACGTCTCTTTCCTTCTAAATAGTTAACGTTTATTAAATTATTTTGAATTAAAAATTAATGTAAAATTAGGTGACAGTAGCGGAAAGTTCGCTATCCCCGTGCCTCCCTCGGCAAGACGTGCCTACGGCTGGCGGGCACCCAGAGGGGACCGGACTGCTCTCCTGCGCAAGCAGAGCCAAAGGCAGGAGCTGCCGCGGCCCCCCGCGCAGCAGCGGCCGCTCCCGCCCCGCCGCGGGCGGACACGCGTGGGACGCGGCGCCCCGCGCCACTCACCGCGGCAGGTCCGCCACAGCCCCGAGTGCGAGCTGAGGGCGTCCGTGCCGTTGCGGGACGTCTCCAGCTTGGAGGCATCGATGATGTACCAGAAGTCCGTCGCGATGGCCACCACGAGGAAGATGAAGCTTAAAACTCCCACCAGGGCCACGAAGAGGGAGAGGACGCCCAGGCTCACCCTCATGCCGCCGCCCGCCGCCGCCGCCCCGCCGCGGCGAGACCCAGAGCTGGCGCTCGCGCCGTCCCCACAGCGGCCGCGCGACGCTCCCGCCGCGCCGGGCCGGACCAGCGCGCCCCGCCGCAGGTAGCCCGCCTCGAGCCCCGCCCCAGCCGGGGCTGCCTCCGTGCCGCGGCCCGCGCACCGCCCTCGGGCCCGGCCCCGGCCCCGGCCCCGGCGTGATCGCCGGGGCGCTGCCGGGCCCTGCTCCTGCTCCCGGCCCGGCCCGGCCCGGCCCGGCCCGGCCCGGCTCGGCTCGCCCCCGGCCGCTCGCCTTGCTCTCTCCCCGGCGGACTGTAGGTGAGTGTGTGTGGGCAGCGGGGCGCTCAGCCCTGCGCGCTCGGGCACGGGTAGGGCAGCCCTCGAAGATAAGGCTGCCTGCTTACTGGGATCCCTGTCAGAAAATGGGGGGAGAGGAGAATCCTCATAGCTTGGGCAGCCTTGAAACTCTGGGGTGGTCTCACCACAGAAGAACAAAAGCTTCCTTATTCCAAGCACCACTGTCCTGTGGGAGAGGAGGGAGCGGAAGCCAAGGTCTGGGGAGTAGTAAAAGCACTGGTGTTCTGTTGCCTGTATTTACAAGAGATTTCCTCTTGTTCTTTGCTTTCCAGATGCTGACCTCAAAAGGACAGATCTAACTTAATTTGAAAGGTGGTGTGAGAGAAGGCAGTAGTATGGCAGTTGCTGCCTGATGTCTGTACCCTGCTTGGCATCATTTTCCTGTCAAGGTATCACTGATGGAGGGAAGGACACAAGCAGCATACCCTCTTACAAAAACGTGGTAAGGACAAACAGTTACGTAGTTTCCAAGGGCACATGTGTTCATGTGTGAGCCCCTAAGCCACACTTCCCCTAGCCTCCTGCTGATTTTCAGCCCACTGAAATCTGTTGGATAACAAGGTAAATTGCAGTAACACACCTTGTTTTTAAATCGGCAGAGCATTTACGATGGAGCTTTACTGCATCACTTCACTGGCATAAAGATACAGTGCAGGTAGGGTCAACAGGGCATCTTGTTTTCTTACTTGTAAGTCACTTCAGGCCTTCCAGGGAATTGCTAAGTAACCCCTCGTCATTAAAAAGATCATTCTCATTTATTTTCTGGCATGGACACAGGACAGAATGTGTGACATCATTACCCATCCATGGCAACAAGCTATTGTGAACCAGTAGGGTTTCAGCAGTAAGATCAGTTAAAAGGAAAATATTCTGTTTATTTAAACATGGTAATCATCAGCACTACAGACCACATTTTGCTGTGCAAAAGTACTGAAAGGAGTATATTTCTGGGACTGTAATAATCTTTCCATTCAGGAATACACTGTTAAGCAGCTATAGCATTATTCTGAGCATCTGCCATCTCTTACATCTCCAAGTTCTATTTTTAATATATGAAAGTGCCTGTGTAGTTTTACAAACTAATCAGCTGTTGCCTCATTGTGATTTTGATGGTCAGGTGATAGAAGCTGTACAAAGTTTATGAAGCAAGGTGAAATGTTTTGTTAGAGTGTCTGATGCAGTAAGAAAAAATTAATGAGCTTTGGGGCACAACTCCTAACTGGGACTCCAAGCTTGCCTGTTTTTTCCAACAATATTTGCAGACTTACTTGTAAGTTCTACTTAGCCCCACAAACACCATGTATTGTGCAGATGTTTCATCAACTCTCTTCTCATAAATCTAAACCAGAGTCATTCATATGTCTAAACCATCGCATCACTGCAATGAGCAGCCATTGTCATCTCCCAATTAAAATCAAGGGAAAGCAAAAAGTGTAAAGCTACAGAAACATTTAATGCAGTTGGGTTCAAGCTGTTAATCAGGTATTGTATGAAAACTTTACCAGTGATGATCTGTGTCCCAGACAGTTCTTGTCCTAATCTTGGCGCCCACAAAGTTATGGACACATGTTTATTTTTAGAAAAATTATGAAATAATTTGCTTTAGCCATCAATATACATGCAGGTCCTCGGAATCTGTCTAGACATACTTTACTGTAAACAAAAGTTAGAGCTGGCTAACCCCTGATCCTTTTGTGACCAGACTGTGATGATAGAAAAGTTTATGTCAAGAATAAATCAACTTTACATGGAGGTTTGATTTCCACATCAGCATAATCTATTTAGGCATTCATCCTCATGCTGATGAAAAGTTAATTCCTATGAAGTCAGAAAACTAAAAAAGTAGAGTTCATCAAAACATCTTCATGTATTCATTAGGAAAGGTTTGTAATGAAAGGAGAAAGTTGGTAATACAGATTATCTTCTCCAGAGATTTAATTTCCAATTAACAGAGGTCTCTAAAAAGACCACAAGACTCTGAAAGTTAAAATAGGATTTTCAGCATAAGAGATTAAAAATTTTAATCTAGGTTTATCTTTGTGGAGAAGGAGTAATTCACTTTGCACAGACAGACTATGTGTCAGTTAGGTCTGCTAACATCAATCTGCTGCTCAGAATATCAGGGAGAATTCAGAAAATGCTCCCAGAGTTGCAGACAATTATTAGTCCACAGAGTGTGATGCAGCAAAATTATCAGTCTTTCAGTTTGAGCACAGCAGAGCTTTTGTAAGTAACTTTTACCTTATCCTTTCTGCTTGCAAGATTACATGGGTGTTGCAGGATTCAGAGGACACTGTGCTCTGGAAATCACCAGCGTGGGTTACCATAACTCTTGCTGGGTAAAATGCATCTACAGTACAGTTCCTTTTGAGTTGCTCAGAACCTGTACTGGACAGGTACAGCAGAGGCCTCAGCCCAATTAATGATATGAGAGCTAAGTCCAAATGAGATCCTTAAGGTAAACTTGCTGTGGAGGTACTGTACTACTTGTGTTAATACTGGAAAGGTGTAAGTGAAAGTCAGAGAAAGTGATTTGGGACTTTGTGGTCAATCATTCTAAATGGTTTACTGAATATCAGCGCTCAGAGTAGGAAACAGCATGTCGTTAATCCTATGACAAAGACACTTGCTATCAGCAAAACGTCCACCTCTGGATTTCTCTCTGAACTGAAGAGAACAGTTCCTCTCATAAGTCCAGTGTCTGTCTTTTCAAATTGTATAAACTATCCGTGTAAGTTTGGTAAGGACTGTTGCGGAAACTCCCAAACCACTTAACAATAAAAAAAAGCAAAATTTATTTTTATACACAATTAATCAGCATTCCGCAAACATACAAACAACAGGTCCAAATGTCCATGAGAGGAGAACAAGCTGTCACCACACAAACTTCTAGGGATTAACAACAACCCAAAATGCTCAATTACTCACCTAATAAAAGGTGAGGACTCTCAACCTTGAGGAACATCTCAGGGCAGCGTCCCAACCCGTAGGAACCCTGAGGAGTCTCCTTGGGCGGCGTCCCAACCCAAGGGGAGAGCCCTTACCTGCAGCACACTGCTCCGGGCGGGAGGAGCTCCAAATGGCTCCCCTGGGGACTCCATTTATACCCGAGCCAAATCTGACCTGTGGTCAATACCAGCCCCTATTGGCCAAAGACCCCAACTACCGTAAAGCCCTGAGAACAAGGGCACAGGGAAGGTTCAACAGCCAGGGAGCCACAATTTCATTGGGCGGGTGAACCTGCCACACAATCCACCCCGTGACCACAGTCGTGATTTGGCTGGCTTCCTTGAAATGGTGGTACAGTCACCTCTTGCCTCCAAGGTTAAAAGGGAGTTCAGTACTGGTGCGTTTTAATGCTCGTTGTGGATCATCATTTCTAAATAATTATATAAAATCAATCCCAAATCAAAACCCTCACATACTCCAACATGGACTTCACTACTTGGACATCAATATAATCTATTATAACCAAAGTTTTAAAACTAACTATTCTAATAAAAAAAAAAATCAAATGTATCCAATACACTAACGATTAATTTCAAATTTCACTACTTAATTTATTAAGTAGCATTAATACAAACAAAAAATAAAAACATTAACAAAGTCCAATCACAATCTTCTTAAAAATGCCAAATTCACAAAGTTTGTTCGCCACCATGTTGCCGTCTAAATCCTGAACATCCATGGGTCACCATCACCATTCTTTGTTTAGTTTTAAATAACCACACACTTTGGGGGACTGTAGTCTTGAGAAATCTTTAATATCTTCAGATCTGTAGACCAGCAACCTTCCGTCTTGCACATTATCTACAAATCTCCACAGTGGATCGATACTGTATTCTTCTTCATCAGTATTCTCACTGTAAAATCTTCGTCTCCAATATGTGCCACAACCTTGGAATTATGGTCTCCAACAACATGTCCGGTGAAAAAGCTGCCAGTGGAGGTACCGAAGCCATCTGCTTTTTCCAAAAAAACCCCTATCCATTTAAGTTTGGTAAGCACGTATACTTTTTAAGATGTTCATTAAAACTTTTATTTTTAAAAACCACTCTTTTTACAAGATTAATTCCTCAGTTTTGCCCAATGTTTATTTTATTTGATTTCCCCTGCTCTGTTTGTATTTGTGAAAGAGGTGACTGAGTTACTAAAAGTAAATTATATGTAAACTGAGGAAGGGAGGGATTCCCACAATGTCTACCCATATGACTGCAGGAAAGCCAAAGTCATTCAGCATAAATGTGCACCAATGACTGCAATTCATCAATGCCACAGAAACAAGTACTATCAACACACCTGATGTCATTCACAATCTTTTCCCAGGAAATATCACATTTTTTCTCCTGTTCTTTTTTTTTTCATTGACTGAAGAATTAAATAGAAAACCCATTTACTATTCACTAGTCCAGTAAAGCTAATTGGATTCTGAATTTATTGTTCTTTTAAACTATTAAAAGATTACCACAATTACTTCCCCTGTGGTTTAAAAGAGAAAATCTGAAAGGCAATGTACAATACTACAATTTTGAGATTAGATTTGCTGCCCTTTGAAATGACTAGCTTTTGGCTGGTTGATCTGAGGTTTGACCATTACTTCTCAGATTTAATCTTTTCATCATGCATCCATTCTTTGAACAGCCACAACCTGCAGTGAATTTAAAGGACCAGTCACAGTCAGGGCATGTATCACAATGTCCTGACTCTTACTCAGGCTTACCTGATCTGCCAAAGAAACCCATGAAGTGTAGATATGTCATATTGAATTAAAAGGGGAATTACAGGAGGGACATGCCTGAAATACCGAGCACAGCCAACAGTGGGGTTTTTTCAAGTCTTGATGTAAATTGTTCTAATGGAGAACTAGTTATTGAGGTTATAGTAGGAGGGATATCTCCTTTTGAGCCAGATGGCTAGATTGGATTCTGTGACCTTACTGCAATGAATTCTAGCATTTTTATTCTAGCAAATTACAGCAACAAAAAATTCTGCAGTAGTATTTGTCATTTTGTTTATTGTTTACCAGGGAAGCATATTCCGTCTACACATACAGAGCACCATCCATTTCTAAATGTAGGTAGAATAATAATATCTCTACAGTGATGCTTGCGTGGTTAATAAAGAATCCATGGTTAGTGTTCAGTTTTCATTTGGATGGTTTATAAACTTTTTCATATTAAGTGTAAATGTTTTACTCTCAGGTTTAGTTTCCCTGTGATACGGAGTGGCTTTTCTCCAATGGCACTCAGGAAGTACACTGCCAACAACACCTAAGGTGGCTCATTTTAATAAAGTCATTGCTTTTAGATGAAGATTGCTAGAACATGCTGTGGAAAAAAATTAAGAAATATAATTATTTAGCTTTCTGATACAGAAAAGGAGATGACTAGAATATTAAAGGCAATATTTTTGAATGGCACAAATCAAGTATGTGATTTTCTTTACAAAGTTCAGGTTCTTATGCTTAACCATGTACAGAGAGGGAAAGTACTGGAAAGTTAAATGCTTTGTGCAGTAGCTACTTGTCCCATTAGAAATAGACCCCACTACTGGACTGAAGAATGATCTCAAGAGGCTGGTTCAGATAAGCTTTGTATTTAAGATTTTCCAAATACTTTTCCACTCGAAAGGCAGTACAAAACACTCAATAAAGAGATTAGTCACATCTCATCCTTTTGAAAGTTCCTGTCTAGAGCCAAAAAAAAAAAAATATATATATATATATTTTTAAATCTAGCTTTTCCTTGAATAGGGAGCCAGTAGCTGTAACGTATGCAAAACAGTTAATCCAGTGCTCTGAACATACAAAGTGTTAGCTCAGGCATGTAAAAGACAAGTTCCTGGTTTGGGCACTCTACTTTTAATCCTACTTAATGACATCTGAAAATGATCTTGTTGTTGCTGTATTAAATACGACGTTTCCTAACATTTTCTTCTGGGCTTGATCTCCATCACTTTAAAACACCTGAAGATCAATGTTGTTCTTATGTGTCACTTCCTCAATTAGTAATAAGGCCTCCAAGTCATGGCAATCCCCAGTGATAATGGCACCGTGTTTCACTGTGGGACGTTCCAGTTCAAATATTATATTTAAACATACCCCCAAAAGTTGCCTTAGCCTCACATCCCTCAGATGCACAAGAAAGATTCCAGACAAAAAAGAAATGAGTATTGAAAGTAAAAAGCAACAGCTGGTCTCATTTCTCTTGAAATTTGTGCACTCTGGAAATTGATTTACGGAGCACTGGTTTGAATTCTGACATAGCTACATACAAAGAACTGCATAAAGCTCTGAGAAGCATAATTTGATTTACTGGAAATTGCGGTAGGAAACACAAAGTGAAAAGGGAAGTTTGTGTTACTTAATCTTAGTCAAGCAAGTATTTATGTAGCATGTCAAGCAGAAGAAGATGTATAGCTAATAAGAGTATTGAGCAGGCAGAACAGATGCTGATAAGCTCAAACACTGAAAGTGACAGGCCTGACGGGGACAAATTTTGTTCAGGAAGACTAGAAAAGAGGGCACAACACAGAGGCAGTGCAGGAAAAACAGGGAGAAACCAAACCACTCAGAACAGAAATATTTTTGACTGCTGAAAAAGTATGCGGAAAAAGTGAGCTTGAGAGAAATCCCCCCTTAGTGTCTCAGCACCCTGACTTGCAGGATGCATTAATTTTGGTCTCTAAGAAATAAAGAGATCATGTGACTTTTATTTTCCATCTTGCTCACTGAGACATTCACAGGGTGGGCCTTTTGCCTTGCCATGCAGCCTTGAAGTGGCCTCCTGCATTGCAACTCTTTGCACAGCCTTTTCTAGGTCCCCAAGTCCGTCTCCCCGTCAGCCCTGCCGCCCAGTCAGGCTCTGTTCTCCATCCAGACCCAGGCAGGCAGTTCCCAACATGTGTCTTTCAGTTGCCATTTGTCCAACCTATGTGATCTATGTGATTCCCAGCTGAGCATATCCATTTAGTCTCTGAAAGGCTGCAGTCTCCTGCTTCTTCAACAAGATCTAGTGGTGCACATGCAGTGGGGAAACCCAGACAGACATGGAGCAACACTGAAACCTTCTTTCTTGGGCATTATCCAGACATGAATTACTCAGGCATTTTTTTAAGATAACAATGCCCCAAGTGCTCAGTGTATGGATGAGAATTGTAGGAGCCTTAGAGAATAGCCTGATCTGAATCCTGAAACTGTGAGCAAAGGTTATATTAACAGCTTGCCTCTAAAACAGATCAGGGAAGGAATGAATGAGGTGGATGCAATACAAAATCTTTTCATAGTATCAAGGTCAATGGTGGTGCTAAAGTTCTTGGTTTAATAAAAGTGTCTCATTTCCATTGCACAGTTATGATTTGTTACAGAATAAGTGAATTACTGCCCACTTGAAGCAGATGATAAAGGTGACCTTGTCTGTATGAATTTGCTTCAAGATTACAGGACACTCTTACAGTCTTAATACTAGTAGACAAGACAATGGATTGTATTAAGCAACAGGAACAGTAGCATTTTTTGGCTAGCCCAGCTAGCTCAAAAGAGGATGTCTGCCATGGTATGTGCAAGCAAATACAGATGAGATGCAAAGAGAGAGAGGTAAGAAGTACAAGATGGCAGAGAGGAGCGGGTCTAATGAGAATCTAAATTGAGATTAAATGACCCCTGATGATGATGATGTGAGCAGCTGGAATAAACTGCTGTATTATCTAATTATTACCCTGTCTCGAATAGGCCCAGTTTATCTCTGGTATAGACTTCTTGGGACTCAGTCAATGGATGGAATAGGCCCAATTCATCATTTAAAACAAGCAGTTAAGACTCTGTAAAGCTGCCTGGTATGTAAGATAAATTAAAGTCTTTACCTTCCTCTTTTTCATACACTACAGGTCTAAAGCTGAGAAATGCATGAAGTTGATTCACTGCCTTGTTAGGCTGACATGTTTGAAAAAGTAATGAAAAGTAGTGCTGAGTAGAATGGATGGCTGGAACTTTCTCTTACTTTCTGCAGCACTGATCAATGTTAAAGTCTTTGCTAAAATTTTAGAGAGCATTTGGTATGGAACATGTAAATATAAAATACTCTTCTGAAGTTCTTCACTGTAATCGAGTGTAGAGCTACTGATTTAAAAGACAACAGATGATCCCTGATTGTTGCTGAAGAATCAGAATGGCTTCTGTATTTTGTGGATTTGATGTCCTTGGGAGTGAGAGAGGGCTTTACATTTACCTTAATTTTGTTCCTTTTCTCCCAATTAAGAGAGATATTTTTGGTGTTTGCAACCATAGTCACTGAGTTGACATTGTTCTAAGAATCACTTGAGACATTACATATATGCCTCTCTCAGAAACATTTCTGTACAAATCAGCTTGTGTTGGACATAAAAAGTCATGATGGGGTGATGTCAAAGGCATGCAAATTATTGTCCTGAATAAGCCCATGGAGAAAAAATGCTATAGTCATAGAGTGTGAATGTATCTGATAAACAACCACAAAATAGTTAATGAAAAAGAAACCACTGTGGATTTTAGCTCTGTGCTGCTAATGTTAATGCTTCGTAATTCAGTTTTGTTGTGGGTGAGGCAGTATGATTCTTAGCTTCCCCCGGGAAGGAGAAATGGATATTCAGGAAATATGGCGACAAAAAAGCTCACACCTGCAGTTGCCCTTTTGAATTATTTTTCAGTTATTCCACTCGTGCACTTTCAACTTCAAGCAGTTATTTAGGAATTTTCAACCTGATGACCAACACTGAGGTGCCATAGATGCCTGGAGACCAGAGCAAAATTCTTCACTGATTTATCATCTACACCAACAGTCCTTTTATTTTCTGTGTTGCCTAATATTTCTCCATACCGCTTGACAGCTTAAGGAATTTGTCCCAAGTACTTTGCATACCAGTAAAAAAGATGAAGTGAAAACTAGTTCAGCATAATTCTTCAACAGCCCCTGTACAGTAGGATTGAAATTATGAGGGCTGATACATTTTCTTCTTCCTGACAGCCTTCAGTTTGTTTTATTTTTTGTTTTTACTGACCTAGTGAAAGCACGGAATGTGCTTCTGTCTCAAAGACATATAATGAAAGAAAAGAAGACAAGAAAAGAAACAGTACATTATGTACTGGAAAGATATTGTGAGCTATCAGGGATATACTACTACACAGTATAAGAACAAATATGTGGTGGTGTATTCATTCATCTGGTTATTCCTGTCTGCTTAGAATTAGCTCTGTTCTCTTATCTATTCCTAAGGAATTAGATTTTCACTGTGATACGTATTTTTCAGGGTGGTTCTTTTCTCAGCTTCCTGCAGCAGTGCTGGCATTTTAGAAGGCATTCTGTAAGGAATTATCCTAGCAGTATCCTTTGGGACTTGAAAGGATTGGGCAAAAATGTTGTGAGAAGCAGTAATGTCTTTTAAGTCCCTTAATTCCTGGTGTGATGTGACTAAGGGACACTCTTGGGTTGCTTTCTTTAAGCAAATTCCTAGCTCACATGGCTGTGAGGAAGATAGGAAATGTAACTGGTGTACCCTGAAGTCTTTTTAAAAAGAGGCAGATCTCAGGAATTTGCTGCCAAATCCCTCTTGCGTGCAGTACAGAGACTGCATCTCCAGAGCTAGATTGCCCCTAAACAAGTATCATTAAGTTATCAGCCACATCATAACGTCTGCAGCCACACTGGCTCCTTTAAGACCTTCTGCAGCCACAAGATACTCCGGCTTCGCCTAATGATTATAAATGTGTGAAACAAATTAGCTGCATTTTTTAGGAAAGAAATAATAGCATCTCCATTTCTCATACAATGTAACTTTGTGTTTAAAAGATCCTGTGTAGTGTAGTGAAACACCTAGTTTTTAAGCTACTCCTCTAGTAGTACTTGGTCTGCATACCAGTAAGTGTCTCTTGTTGCAAACTGGTAAGATTTTGTGACAAATATAATCTGCTTTGTCTACATGCTGTTAGCTCTTTATAGTAATGGGGAATATGCCAGCAGAGAGAGACTGCAGTAATAATTTATGTGGCAGAGTATCACCACAGGAAGTAAAATAATACTCTGCTCTTTCACAGGAGTCAGATAAAAGGAAAACAAATCTCCAAAGCATTTTTGTCAGTTGTTCATCCAATAGAATTCCCCACAGAAACTCCAATGAGAGATCTGAATGGCTGACTGTGTTTTCCATTTCATTACCACTCAACACTTTAGACTGTAAAAATAGGGAAAGATTACTTAATTCTCTTAATAATTCTGTCTTTATAGGGTGCAGATGACAAGAAACAAGACATCTAGAAATAAATACAGACTGTGCATTACATTCCAAGGTTTTTTTACAGCATTAATTCTTTAATTCTTCCTTTCCCACAAGCACCCGCTTAAGAAAAATACAAGGATCATCTGTAGGAATTGACATTAGTATCATATAACAAGTAATTAGTATGCAAATGCCCACTTTCGAACCAGATCCTCCTGCTGAAAGATACAAACATCTTCAATAACCCTTGCAGACTTGCAGAGGGACTTAACTAGAATACAGATGGGAGTCTGGAGCACTTGTAGGTCTATGATTTTGCACAGGGACCGGACTGCAGAGCTCTGGTGTCCCGCGGCGTGTCCCGCAGCGCCGGCGCGGCCGCGCTCCACGGCCCCGCAGCCGGTGCCACAGCGGCAGCGGCTCTCGGCTGCGGCTGAGCTCAGCTGTGCGATGACTACCCACAGCACTGAAACCCAGAATGGAGGTGCTAAGATCTGCCAGTCAGTTGTTGTCTAACTCGGCAAGTTTTTATCTAACTTCTGTTATTAAAGTTTCCCAAAGCACTCTGGTATGGTGTTCCTGCTCAACACCCAATTCAGTCTTCTGTTAACCTGGCTCATGATACCTCTTTTAAAACTCTGCAGAATTAAGCAGTTAACGCCCCTATCCCCCAAGTGGGCAGGTACTGCTGTTGCTTCAACCAATCGTACAGTGGTAGTCGAGTTCGGACATTAGTTGGGTTAAGGAAGAAATGGCCACTTGCATCCCTATTGTTTTTTCCAATTTTGTTTTGAAGCTCCTCGGAGGTTTTGCATGTGATTACACATCAGCTGAGACAGGGTGAAACCAATGAAAGAATGGGGGTGAAAAACGTGTGTTCAAACTCTGGGCAACTGTGGTGAACTCTTTAGTGGCAAGACTAAAATTAGCTGCTCGTGTTTCCCTTTACGGGCTCCCCAGATAGATGTTTACCTAGAGAGTGCTGGGTCGTTCTTAAATAGAGCAGAACCCCCCATGAGGACAGGGGGAAACCCCACGGCCTCATTTTCGGCGTAAGGGGCCTGTTGTTACTCACGCTCTGCCCCGGGATAGGAGCAGCGGCTCAGCCGGGAGCAGGGCCGGGACCAGACACCGGCGTGCCTGGCCCGGCCTTGCCGGTGCCTTCAGCAGGAGCTGCTGGGCCTGCGGCGGCAGCCAGGTCGAGCAGCGCGACCCCGCCCCGGCCCGCCGAGCGCGGCGGGGGCTGCCCGGGGGGCGGGGCGGGGGCTGCGCTGCCGGAGGGCGGGGCGGGGGCTGCCCTGCCGGGGGGCGGGGCGGGGGCGCGGCGTCAGCTGCGCGCCGGAAGGAGTCGTCGCCTCCGAAATGGCGGCGGGAGGCGGCCTGTGGCGGCAGGTGGGACTGGGGGGAGAGGCCGAGGGGACGTGCTCGTCCTGCTGCCTTCTCTGCGGAGCCGCTTCTCCCTCCCCGCGGCACAGCCGCCCGCCGGCAGGGGCTGAGGGGCTGCGGCCGGCCGGCCCCGGGCAGAGGCGGCCCCGGCCGCGGGCACTGCCCTGACGGCCGAAGGGCGGCCGGCGCTGGGCTGGCCGCGCCGCGCCGGCTTCTCTCCCCCTCAGGTGGCGGAGAAACCGCGTTTTGTTGCTTTGTGTCAGGTCTGGATGTAGCTTGTGCACAGATTTCTGCTGGCAAAGGGCAGGTTTGGAGGCTGGATTAGGTTTTTCAAAAGTTGATAGAACTTCCTAACTGAAGTTACAAAGGCAGCCCGTATAACTTGAAGCATTTTAAGCCTGTATGTTTATGAACTTGTTCAAGCACAAACAGATAGTAGAAAACTTAATTTTCCAAGATGTTAATGCCAACACAGGAAATGGCATCAACAGTTTTTACATAAGGAATATTATAGGGGCACTCACAGCTGGTGAGACCTGGGTGTCTGTTAACTAAGTCAGTCATGCAATACTTGATTTTTGTGTGTGCATGTGATCTAAGTTTGTCATTTCAGTTTTTAAAGACATAAATTTTGCTTTCAGATCTATGGTTCATCAGCATTTCATATTTGTTTCACAAAATGTCAGGTTTTATAGAGCATAGGAAAATTAACATTCTCTTAATTTTTCTGTTCACAAGATGTAATTCATTTGTTTGTGCCTTAGGACAGAGAGAAAACTCAGCCTTGGACATGAAGTAAGGATGATTTCAGGTGTTTATTTTTTTTTTTTCTGGGGAAGAATAAAGAGCGCCAAAGACAGGAGACATTAACTGCCCTATTAGTGGAAGCATATAAAAGGAGGGAGAGCAGACACTCCTTTTACAAAATTTGGGGGACTAGCCTGTGATAATACAATTGGTAATTGTGTACATATCTGAGAAAATTCAGAGATGCTTGTGAAGAATGAGATCCCTTAAAATGGTTAAGTTGTACACACAAGGCCTTATGTTCCTTGGTAGACCTTGACTTAGTATTTAAGTGTGTGCATTCATGGTAACATCTTTTTTTTTTGAGGGGGGGGGGGGGGCATTGTTTTTAACACAAGCTAATTAGTAGCTCTTCCTGAAATATGAAACGTCTGCTAGTGAGCTACTAGCCATTATGTATTTGATGATTCTTTGAAGCATTATAAAAGAGAGCATTGGAGCACTGCAATTTTATTGGGCAGTATAATCTGATTTTTATCTTCTAAAATATTGCTGGAGCAGTGTTCAAACAGTGTCAGAATGTCACTAAAAGCTGTCTTTGTTTGGTTTTAGATTGAATATCCTGATGTGCAACTTGCTGTTGTTTTAGAGCATGGTGGAGCTTGCATAATTACACCTTGCCTGACATCTCAGAAACTATGTAATGAGATTATCCTGCTAAGCAAAACTGTTACTTGATGCCTGTTAATGGAAGAGTATCAGATCACTTTGTGACAGCACTTTATAGGGGACTGTTTGGGTACTGTAGATGTTCCTCTCACCAGCACATCATGGTAGATGTAACAGAGAAGGAGATGGATAACCCCACATTTAAAAGTGACACTGTACTTTCTGATGTTCACTTACACTGTCCAAACAAAAGACGTCTCATGGTACGATTGAATGCAGTTGGGCAACCAGGTAATGCATGTTTAGACTGATAGAGCTGTATTTTAAGTGTATTCGTATCTTTGTAATGTCTGAATCCTCCTTTGAATGGTTGGTTGATATTAATCACTACATATTCCAGTTAGAAGCAGAATCACTTCCTACTCAGTCTTTAGGAAGAAGACTCACTAGATTCTCCTCAGGAAATTAACTACAAAAATTAAAACTGTTAACGTAGAATTTGTAGACAGCCTAACTTAAAAAAGAAATTTTAAATTAGTTTCCGAGAAGAAATAACCAAATTAACTTGCTTGCACTTTTATTTATTTATTTGTTCAATTAGCTGTAATCTTAATATAGGATTTTGGGAATAGCTAAAAAGTTGCAATGTTTCTTGCATACAAACAAAAGGAGAAGCTAGGGGTTTTAAATAGTGTAACTTAAGTTTAAAATAAAAATTATCAGTAATTAATGTATTAATGTTTATAAAATCTTCATGTGATGATTTACTGTCTATTCCAGAGGAACCTAACAGGTTTGGGATTTTTTGTTTTTAAAAAATTGGCAACAAAATTGGCAAACAACGGTTTTGACTGACATATAATTTGAAGAGTTGAGGCTGTAGCGGAAATGAATGGGCAGATGCCTCTGACTGGTTGCCAGTTTGTAGGTTGCTATAAAGTAGTCAAGAAAACTGACCTTGAAGCTGCTGGTAAAATGTTCTGTAGAAAAGTACTGCTCCTGCTGTGATAGAAGTGTTAGTTATCTGTGATGTAAAAAGAATAGCTTTTACAGCTGTTCTAGCATATGACAATGTAAAAAATTATAAAAGTAGGCTTGATAGAAAAGTGGATAATAATTTTGACCCTGAACAGGTCAAAACCAGGTAATTAATGCTACAGTGTTTTCATGCTGCTCAATATTTGTTGTGATTTTGCTTGATGCAGTGAACTTTTCAACAGAATGAAAAGGTAGCATGTGCTATCTACTCTGAATGTACTCAGTCTGGGAAATTCTTTTATTAAGACGAGGACTGGATTGTAGTGTGACAGCTTTTACTCTAACAAACATTATGACAATATACCATTGTCACTTTGCTGTTTTTCAGGGAACCTAAGGGCATTTTAGTCTCTGCTGCTTTGGGTCAGTTTTACCTTATACTTTTTGAAATGCTATAGAACGTGCAGAGGATCAGAATGGACTTGGAGAACAAAAACATTTAATTAATTGATGGCATCCTCTAATTTTTTAAATATTCAAATCAGTTTACTCTGGTTGTCATGTAAACAGTAGATGAATTAAAAAATGTCATACTAGGATAGGCAATGAAGATTTTATTAGATCTAGCTGAAAATGATCTCTGTAGAGAACTTCTGTCAGGTTACAGTAGAACAACTTTGAATATTTTGTTTTTTAAAGAAACTATAATAGAACTCCATAAATTGTGAAATTGTTGAAAGCAATGGTGGCAAGCACTTTCTCTCTTCCCTTTTGGTGTGAATGAACATAAATCTAAGACCTTAGACCTGCTGGTATTGACCTTTTTCACTAGTCATATTCTTGGCTATCTTTTTCTTAAGTCTCAAGACATTGTGTGTGATTTTTGGAATAACAGTACCCAGGCTAAGATGCTTACTAACACTGATTTCATACCAGAGTGGGTGAATCGAATTCCATGATTTTGTGTTCCCTGACTAGCCTGTTCAGTCAAACACAGTGTGGAAGCACCACTGTAGACCGGAGATCAACTATAGATGGAAGGACAAATGTTTGTTCTTCCTCATGTGTTATATTCAGACAATACAGATGCATATAATTAAAACTGCAAGGTCCGTGTTTGGATAACTTAAAATTTTTAATAGATACTGATGTCACTGGATGATAGTTACAAAAGATATTTAATTAATTGGTTTATTGAGAACAATGGCCTTATTCATTTAATCTCTTCAAAGATGACTTTAAAAAAAAAAGTGTCTGCATGTCCAGCTTCAGCAAGCTGTCTCCTGTGAGCTCATTTCTGCTCTCATACTCATACTAAGCTGATTTCAAGGCTTTAAGTTGCTTCAATTCCTAGACTTTACAACTGTAAAGAAAATTCTACTTGTTTTTTACTAGAACATATTTATTTCTTACAAGATAGGAATTAAATCTTAACCAAAAGAAAAAAAATTCTAGCTTGTATTAATTCTTATTTCAATTTAGTTTGAGCTTGTCTCAGCAAATCTTTTGGAGGAGGTAAGAAACCATCTCTTCTGTCAATTGTTGAAATAAGTGTTACTAAATCAGATGAAAGTGTGCGTTGTGACTGATGCTGAGTCAGCCAGCAGATGGTGAAAGTGCTTCATTTATTTCTACTGACAGAACTTAATAACAGAAATATTTCTTAACAACAAATTGAACTATATTTCAAGTTATCTGTGTAATTTTTTTATCATCTAGATTTTTACTATATGAAATGCATACCAGAATTTCATGCATGTAAAAGTTGTGCAAAGATTCTGTTCTTACCTGGTGTTTAACTCTCCCTGCCCCCCTTCATGTTCTTATAGTATTCCTGTCGTATTTCAAGCTCCTCTGGAACACAGAAGATTCAGCATCTGAGAAACATGTGAGAGAAGCTACAACCGAAAAAGAACACCAGTACAGAAGTGGAGATGAACTGTGTGACAAGGACAGGAACAGTCTAAAAAAAGAAAGAGAATTAAATAATGAAGGAGTAGAAGCTCTTCTAGATGATGATGGAGACTTGGAAGTGGTCAGAAGACCTCGAAGTGCCTCTGATTTAGAAGCGGAGGATCTTTTGAGGGATAAAGTGTATCCTGTAATTCTGATGAAAGGAAAGGAAGATGCTTTTGAAGATGAAGAACAAGAATGCCCTTGCAATGATGTTGTTAAAATAGGTATATAGTAGGCTTACAGTCAAAGAGAAATGGAATAAAGATGTTTGTTTAAAAAAAAAAAAAAGAAAACCAGGTTTTCTTTAGAAATGGAACAGCAATAATTAAGTGAGAGGAGATGATAAAACAAGCAAAATACTGTGATATTTTAAGTATTTTAAAAATTTAGCATTTTTCTCCAGAAGTGATTTGGTCAATAGTATACAATGGGAGACTCACCGCTCCTTAGTTAGAGTGTGGGGGTTTTGGTATCATCTAACATTGTTATATAGAATGAAGAGTGTTTAGTTTTATATCTGAAAGGGAAGCATGACTTGATTTTCAAATTTGCCACAATGGAATTTTATTTGAACAACATTTTGAGATAATTATTTTTGCTCTATAATTTTCACAGAACATACTATGGCAACCCCCTTAGAAGATGTCGGTAAACAAGTATGTATTCTGCCTTGTAGTATCTTGCTGTTAATGGATGGTGCTTCAGAATTTACTCAGTTTTAACTGTTTCTTTTATTCACAGGTGTGGCGTGCAGCCTTTCTTCTTGCTGATTACATTCTGTTTAAACGGGACACATTCAGGCATTGCTTGGTGCTAGAGCTTGGAGGTGGCACTGGAATTACAAGCATTATCATGGGAACAGTTGCCAAGAGAGTTTATTGCACAGGTTAAGGCATTTTCAATTAAATAGTTTCATGAAACTTCATGAAGCAGTGCTTTCATCCTGGCATTTTCATCCTCATCTGTTAATTTTTAGTTAATTTTTTATTAATGTGTATGAAGTCATGTTGTTTATTGAAAAATAGCAAGGACTTTCTCAACAGATTGAAAAGGCAGTACTATTTTTAAGTGCAAGAGTTTAAAAGCAAGATACATCGCTGTGAACCCAACATAGTGTGCTTAGATTAAAATAGGTAGTAATAGGGATCTAACTTCTTTCTTCAGGAGTAGCTCAGAGCTCAGTACTGAAAGACAAAAGCAAGAAGGATACTAGGGAAGAAATCATCAGTGAATAGAGTTGCTCTGAATTTTCCTTTATCTTGTCAGCTTGACAGAAATTTAAAGTGTTAGTCTGAGAAGTTAGGGGCATGCATGGCTCATGCAAAATATTCTTGAGTATCACTATAACTTTTTTCCAGATGTTGGTGAAGATCTTCTGGCCATGTGTGAGCAAAATGTTGCATTAAACATACACCTGATGGAGCCGGGAAGTAAGTGCTATACAGTCAGTGTTTCTGTAATTGCCTCTATATGAACCACTTCGGGATTAAACAGCTGAGTCATTGACTACCTAGCATATTCACAAGTAAAATAAAATTTTTGTCTTGGTTAAAAGTGACTCATTTGAAAAGAAATATTATCTATATTTGGTCCATAATGGGACAGTTTCCTTTTGAGAGGAGCAGAACACTTGTGCTTTCTCTGGTCATCATTTATGGTCAGCTGTAGTTCCTCCACAGTCATTGTGTGAGTTTCACTGAGGTACCTGGGAGGATCACAGATATCCATGTGCCAAGGCTCACATAAACAGAGTTTAAATGACAGAGGTAGAACTCTGGAAAGGAGAAGTATTTTGCAGGTGGGACATGTAAAAGAGAACATAGGCTGTCTTTCTGACCCTTAAGTTTATCCTGTTCTCTTGTGAGTTGGTAACTGGTTTTGTACAGTGAGTGATTTGATGTTCAACTTCTTGTTTCATACGTCCTCACAACAGATCTTCATCACTTGTTTCAGTACAGATTCTGACTCTTTACTTTTGCTTAGGTCCTGTCTGACAGGCTATTTGTGACTGATGTGATCTTTCTTCACCCACAGGAGGGGAAGTTAAAGTAAAAGAACTGGACTGGCTGAAAGATGAATTCTGCACTGGTAGGTGGTTGTAATGAGTCCTATCAGATAGGGTTTGGTGTTTTGGTTTTTTTTTCCCCTTCAGAGCCATCAAGAAAAGCTTATTTCATTTTTTATGAAGTAAGTCCTCCAGCACACATGCTTCTGGAAAAATAGCTGAAAGTAGATAATTGTCTTTGGATGCATAATTGCCATGTGAATGGGTAAGGACGGGTTTACTGCTAGGTTGAGAATAGACAAGTGGTGTCTGTCCTTTACTTAGGTCAAAATCCACAGGTGCAAACAAGATGTGTCTGTTATGTGGTGATAATAGAATACAGGCACCATGACATGGATTTGAGTTACTGTAATCCCAATACTGGTGTGATAGTATTGTGTGGTTTATGACTGCATGAATACAAAACTATAAAAGGTGGTGAGGAGGGTGGTGATGATTTGAAGATGTATAAATACTTATTCCAAATGTAGTGGTGAATGTGTTATATTTTACATATTTGCCAAAGGAATGTGTTCTGCTGCTTTTAGCAAAATAAAGGCAACTAACTTGAGTAATGTTTGAAGTGCAATTAATGATAGTAAAGCAGAACACTAAAACTTTCTTTCTGGTGATTGCAAAGGTCAACACAAAATTGTAGGACTGGGTTATATGAAGCCTACTTTATAGATTTTTATATCATCAGTTGGGTTTGATGTAATGCTTCTAAAAAATAGAACAACTACTTAAGCAGGTGGAAACATCCTTTATACATTCAAAAGCTTCTCTTGGATCTCAAAAAATTCTAGTTAATTAAAATATTAGATATTGCTAGTTGACAAGGCATTATGTTTTTTAGACTTTCAGAGAAAGTTTCTATATTTTAATAGTCAAAATTTTAGCAAGTATGATGAAGTAGGAAACTTAATCAAAACTTACACAGAGACAAATTGTTTTATTTAAATGAGTATTTATTTTAACACAGTTAAATCTGTGATCTCGCTACAGGGTAGTAATTGGTTGTAAATTCTAAAAAAAAAAAGCTTACTCTTGCCAGTCAGCCTGGGGAGGATTGGACATAACACAGAGAAAGCAAAGGACTTCAGGGAAGTTCAGAGAATGAATAGAGGGAGGTTTTGATTTACCTTCAGTGGGATGCTCCGAGTAGCAAATGATCACAGGAGTTAAGAAGTTTCTTTTTTCCAGCTGTCAATCATTAGAGACATTTAATGTACACCAAAGCCATGTTCTTTGTTACAGATCCTGAAGCTCCTTATAGCTGGTCTGAAGAAGAGATTGCTGAGTTGCATGACCACTGTACTGTGATAATGGCAGCTGATGGTAGGAAAATATAAACAGTAAGCTTTTAAATCAAACACTTTAGCATTATGAGTAATAATTTAAACATATACCTACTTTGCTTTTAAAATCTAATAGGTCAGATCTTTACCTAATTTGTCAAAGTTCTGCCTTAAGTGTTCCTGCCTGTGGTTTGGTGGTTTTTTTTTTAAACAGTTGTATTTATGTGCTGGATTAGCAATAGGAGAACAGATGGTGAAAACTACTAGCTTTTTCTTTCCTTTGGTGTGGTAATTATTTGTGACTAAATAAATTACTCAAAGAACATAAGCACAAGTAACTGACGAATTTGACTTTCAGAAGAGTTTTGTTGTCCTACCTTTGTCTTGCACCAGATAACCTCCATGCAAATAATGATAAATAGGTGGTTAGACTAAGATACTGTATAACATGGAAAACCATTTCAGATGCTGTATTTGCCCATAGAGTCTATGCCTTTATTTATCTCTGTCTTCTTTTTTCTGCTCTTTTTCTTGCTTGAGTGAAAGACTGAAAAATTACAGGCTATCTTATCTCTATAGGAAAACCATTGTTGTTTTGTTATATAAATAAAGGAGGATTGGTTTTAGTTATGACATTAAAAGGTGTTGCAAGACTGCTTTCCAAGGAGATACAGTTATAATGGTACATTAGTTACTGCCTTTTTTGTATTTTTGTAAGAAATTAGGTCCTACACAGTGTGATATGCTGGCTTTTTTAGCTTTGCAGTAAGATATTTCCAGGCTGACAGAAATCTTGCTAAAGTTCTGTAAGTTGTCTGACAGAAGTGATCCCATTGATACAAGACAAATCTTAAAGCCTGACATAGTATGTGCTGCTGCTATTTATTACAGGGTCAGTTGCTGCCATTAAAAATATACTTTGGGATTTAGTTACAATAATGACTTCTTTGATTAGAATAATCAGGTTAAGTCCTGCTGTTGTTTTGTATCTGAGACTTAATTAAATAATATACTTAAACATGCATATTTTATGCTCTTAACCTTTTTTTTGTAGTGTTCTATGATGATGACCTGACAGGTGCCTTGTTCAGAACGCTCTATAGAATCACACACAACTTAAGAAATACTTGCACAGTTTACCTAGCATTAGAAAAGAGGTAAGTATTACCAAGAACTTAAAGTAAAAAGCACTAAAAACTTTATGTGCTTTCTTCATTTGGAAAAAACATCTGATTTGATTGAAGGTTGGCTTCTGATTTTCATTGTATTATTTGATCACAGGCTGCAGTATATGCTCAGGACAAGCATTTGTTTTTATAAGTGCTTAATTTTTATCAGGTCAGAATTTGACTTCCACAGGAGTTTGGCTTTTGTTGTCCTGCCTTTGCCTCTCATCAGATAACCTCTGTGCAAGTAAAGATAAATAGGTGGCTAGGCTGATGTATTCTATAATGCCTGACAACATTTGCTATGTGTTTTGAGGTCATAGAGTTGAATGAGGAGGCTTAGAATTAGGGTCTGTGTTTCCCAGCTTGAATACCATTATAACAGTTCCTCTTGTGTTTTCTTTCAAGGAATTGTTGAATGTTTTTACATAGCCATGTGTTACAGTTCATTTATAAACTAATACATAAATAGGCTTTGCTTAAATCTCTGGAGATATGCAAGCAATAGCTGTTCATATGATTTGTTGCCAAGTGTTTGTCCAGGAAGCTAAGCCAAGCCAATGATTCTGTGGCAAAGTGCCTTAAAATCAACAGAAGGATTCATCCAAGAGTTATTGTATATTGATGCTACAAGTCTTGTCTGATTTTCAGGAATAGCAGGGGAGTTACTTTTTTTTTTTTTTTTTTATCTGTTGAAGTTAGATAATTACCCTGAGAAGATCCACATTTTCCATTAGCTGAAGAAGGTTAGATAGCTATTTAAGGTAACAGTATAGGAGAGACATTTTAAATTAAATATTCTCTTGCCAGGCTGAACTTCACTTTAAGACATATGGATGTTACATGTGAAGCCTACAGTCATTTTAGAAATACTCTAAATGATTTGGAGAACCTCCAAGACAGAAAAATGAAATATACTGTGGAGCCCATTAAGCTTGATTTCTGCCAGTTTCTCGTTTATGAACGAATTGAGCAGTTGGTAAGTGGCATTCATTAAAATAAATGTAATGTGTTGGGCTAATCATCTCAAATTAGTTTTCAGCTGTTTACTTAAGCTGAAGTAAGAACAGGAGAATAAACATTACCTTTTCTTTTATTTCCATTTAACTTTCTGTTGTTTTAAAATGATTCTTTTTTGTGCTTACATAATCTATACTAAATTAATATAACATACGCTTTTCTATCACCAGCAGTACAGTGGCTTATATTGCACTCATTTCCTCAAAGGTTAAGAAACAATCTCCATTACTTTGTAAAACACAATTTTTGTGATTGACTAGAAGATGAGACTGATATCTCTTCTCATTTATTTGCTTGTAGAAGAGCTTTTATTCCATAGTTTTAGTAATTCCCAGTTCAGAGTTCAGGAAATAATGTTCTAATATCTATGAAGGAAGTCGATTAGCTGCAAACTTCTGTTATTCAGAAACATGTCAGATATAATATTTGTAGTTATCTAATTACCTCCCAAGCACTTAGGGTTCTTTTTATTATTCTTTTTCCAATTGTCTGCTCTTATGACTATTATGTGGAGTAGCTAATAGCTTGCTAGCTTCTAGAACAAGACAATCTAACAGATCTTTTTAGAGAACCTGCAAATCTTGTAATGGATTGCAAATCTGTTACCAAGAAATTATGTTCCTGCAGTCAACATGCTATTGCTGTCTTCTGCAGTATGCATGCATAGTAAGGTTATGGGGGCCACAGTTACTTCATAAGATTGATCTATTTTACTTAATACCGATACCTTCAGGCATAAAGTATTCATGTAAAACTTTAAAACGAGTTTTACAAGTATGTAAATGTGACATGGCTTATAGCTAAATGTACAAACTCATTCCGTAGCTTTTTTATGGAAAGCTACTGGTCTTTGAAATATACGCATTTTTAAAATGCCTAAATTTTTAATTTATCATTAAGTATATTTCCACAATTCAAGATGTTATGGTGAAGAGTATGTGATAGTGTGCAGACAAAGTGTATGCTAATTTATTCTACAGAAATAAAGTAGTTTCTCTTCCATCTTCATTATCCAACAGATTGAGAAGTGGGGGGTGTGTGTCTGTATAAGACATGCATTTGTGAGACCTTGATTCTTCAGTAAATTGACTATTTTTTCAGTTGTATTTTTAGTATCATTATTGAAAGTGTTTGCCAACACAGTCTAAGAAAAAGAGAAAGATTATCGGTCAAAATACTGGAGAAGGTCATGCAGACCAATGAAATTATTTTAAAACAAATTATTTGAATGATACTAATTTTTTATTTTAAAAAATCGTGCTACAAGAATGAAGTAATCAGTGCTATTGGTCTGTCTCAAACATAATTTGGTGGTTGTTCTAGGAGGTTATATAGATGGAGAGCTATAGATGGAGGTATAGCGTGTGTCTTAAAAATTGTCTTCAAGTGGGCATGTTGCACTTTTTCATAATTACAACCTACTGATCTAAGAAAATACCTGTATGTATTTTTTCCACTCCTACAGGAATTGTGGAAGATCACTGCTGAACAGCTAACATGACAGGGACATGTGGAAGATCTTTATCTAAGAATAAAGGTTTTTTTGATGTTTTATTAAAAAAGGATTTTCATCCCAAGGAAAGCATTTTCCAGGTGGAACTGTGTTCTCAGAAAGTATTGCTATGCAGATTTGCTTTGCTTCAGTAAGTTTTGGGTTTGGCACTTAGGACATGGATTCTTCAATGTTTGTTTTACAAAACTGTTTAATGTTGATCTTCAGAGTATGTGCTGGATGCCAACCAGCAGCAGCAACACAGTGACTTGCTCTTTGGGATTGATGACTTAGTTTTTAGAGTCTGACAAAGAGGCATTTGATCTTTTCCATGTGGCTGACTTGCAGATTTTATGCATTTCCCTTTTTAGTTTTCTGAACGTTGTCGCTGTTCTTGGTCTTATTGCAGTTCCATATTACTTGTATTATTGGACTTTTGTGAAACAGTGTTCTGGGCAAGACCTGTTTGTCTTTCATGGACTTTTCTTTAAGGAATCTGTTTGTGAAACTTAGTCCTTCATTTTCAGTTTGTCCTATCTAAATCATTCTAGTTTAGGTCTACTGTCTGAACTGAAAGGAGACAAGATGTGTTTTGTTTGAGCCTCTAAAAATGCTCTACAGAGGTCTTGGATCTATATTGTCCTGCTGGAATTTTAAGCTATTCTGTCCTTGTCAGGTCGAGGGTGGGAAGGTACCATGTGAAGTGATATGCTACTGCTCTTGAAATGTTTGGAATTCTACCCTCAATGTATGTGTGTGAGGCTGGGGAGAAGGGGGGTGACCAAGAATGTCTTGCCCATACCAATGGGGCCTTCAGTACCTTAGCTTTTGGATTAAAGTACAACATATTGATCAAATCTCTCCTGTGTTATTAATGAAACCAAAAATCCCTTTGTACGTTTTATAAATTTAACACGTGCTATTATGTTTGTCACTTGCCATATGTACGCTGTCATGGAGGTTCTTGTGCCTGCTGGATTCTTTCTCATTATGAGAGTATCAGTGATGAAGCTGTTCCAGCCTGTGACTCGTGGGAATGTGCATATGTTACATTAGAAGCATCTGGTTGACTTCTTGAAAGCCTAATTTACATTTGGTTTAGTTCAGTTGGTTTAGGTCAGTTATTTCATAACCTGTTTACATGTATGAAGACTAATTTTTTTCGTGTTCTTTAATTCGTCTTTAATGAGATGAACGATTATTAGATGATGATGGCCTTTTCCTGTGACTATAGTCAAAGTAAAAATCAATTATGTTAGGATATATCTGCCTAGATTAGTACACAACTTCTCTCTCAGAACCCTCATTTGGACTTCAAGGATGATAAACTGTTAGACCAGATGGTCCTTGAGGTCCCTTCCAACCTGGTATTCTGTGATTCTATGAAACTGTATTTTAATCCGAAGATTCCCCAGCTAGTGTTCTTTTGTTTGTTTTGTAATGTCTTTAACCTTGGTAGATAAACTGAAAACAGCTGTTTTTGAATGTAGTTGCTTATTTAAGTAATATTTTTTTTGAAGGCTTGTAGCAAGAAGTTGATATGAACTGATGTGAAATAGCACGTGTAGTTAGAAGAGATTTTTACTTGCTCAGGACTTCTGAAAGTCTTTGGAATTATTGACAGAAACTCATCCAGGTAGAGGGATATTGTAGATCTTTTAAACATAGAATTCAGCCATTTTACCACAGCTGGCTTAAATTAACATCTGAAAAAGATTTTTATACTTGTATCTTTGGCTGAGTAAATAAAAATATCATGGCTGATTGGGAAGCAAGCTGAAGTAGCATTTCCTACGGAAGTTGGATGTGACCCTCTTCACTGATGATAAGGAATAGTCAAAAATAGGCAACAATTCTAAGAACACCGGAGTCTTACAATGCCTTAGCTTTGCAGTGTTAATAATATAGCCTATCTTGCCAGAGAATTGTCCACTGCTACTTGAGGATATTAAGTATGAATGCTGCCACTTCAATTTTCACTTCAGTCATACTTGAAATATGTCTTACATGGTAGTTGTTTTCAGAACTCATCGTGCAAATTTATACCTTTAGCAGTTCATTGTTTACTAAGATGATTTAAAGTGGGAAATTGTTTAGTCTTGAGCATACAGATTATGATTGGAAATAAAGTTAGTGCCTAAAATGATAATGCCCTGAGCATATTATCTGTATTAATGTAATCAGGAAGGATTTTTTCCTAATAAAGCATGATTTAAAAAACAGTATGCTCTTGTGGACATGTATCTAAAGTTTGTAAAATTGTAACAGATAGTGTTCTTAGGTTGTTTTTTTTTTTTTTGACAGTCCTATCTATACCTGTTTTTTTGCTGTGTGTTAGACAAATTTTGCTGTGATTTTTATGGAAAGGAAAGAAAATGTGATTGTGAAGGGTAGAAGATGTTAGTATGTAGACAAGAGTCCAGTCTAAATTGCATGAGGGTTTCAGTTCATACAATTTACAGAAATGTCATGTGATTCACCATCAGGGTGGATGGTCTTGGACTTGTGAGCTACTGGGAAAGAGTTTGCATATTTCATTGTAAAACCCTTAAGAACTCTGCTGGCCTATTCACATACTTCTTTTTGATAACCTCATAGCTAGTAGGGAAAAAAAGGGAATTAGTAAATGTTTCTAGTCAGCGTTGCCCATTCCTGCAAGTCCTTTATTTCTGTGAAGGGGAAGGAAGAGAAGGTAGGTGTGTAATCTAAAATTTATTAATGTTTCTGCTCTGCTGTGCAGCTGAGTTTGGAAATATTTCATTTGGAAAACTGACTTTTTCCTCTGCTAAATAAAGTCATTCTGCACTTGGAAGCACTTCCAGATCCGGTTGGCATAGTCTGGTTGGTCAGCCAGATGGATCTTTTTGGGGAGAGAGGAATGCAGAGGAGGTGAAGGGGAACCTGTGGAACTCTTTCAGTGCGCTTATTTCTGATAAACGAGAGGGATGTCACGATTTTCTTGAAGTGCAGTAATGGATGGATACATGATCTTCCAGGAGGAATCTTGTTTGAAACAAACTGATTTTTACTTCTGTCACTGGTGTGTAGTGAAATGACACATGTCCTTTCTCAGTCCCCATACTTCAGATGAAGATGGCAGGCATCCCTGTCCTGCTTTTATCTTGAGGAACATGGAACATGGATGACATCATTGTAGATATTGGTCAAAAGAAGACCTTGAATTTTTTTGTCACATTTGAATGAGCGTTGCATGCTGATTACATTTCTTTCTTTTTAATCTTTATTGATGTGAAATTGGAGACCTGCTCTGTTGTAAACTTCTGTTCACAAAAGTTGAACTTCTGTGTATCATTTTTGCAGTAGAAGGAAACGTTGTTCAAGGTAATCACTTGATGGGATACATTATGTATATTTATTATCTGTGTGTTCTCATGTGTAGGTGGCTATTCATAGACCATACTTGTAGCTCCATCTGCTGTGCAACGCTTTGAGTCAAAACATTTTACAGTTTGTTAAACACCCTTTTCCTTTCTGTTTTAACACTATTGTATTTTGGAGTAACAGTTTAGGTTGAATATGTAGTTCTGCATTTCTCACCTAGGCTTGCAGATGCGTGTATTAGAGATGAAGTTATCATGGAAATGATCTTGAACAAAAGTTATGTTTAATTACCTGTTTTTTAACAGTAGCTTTAGGAGGCTGCCTCCAGTAGTTTTGGATTTTCAGGAAATGTTCTGGGAAGAAGTGGATGTAACTTTGTGTGTGTGGTAGGGACTTTCCATTCATTAGAAGATCAGGGCTTAAATGAGATCTTGAAGTTTTATAGCAGATAATCTCATGAGACTGTCTAGTCATTGACTCAACTGTTGTGAACTACTACATACACCACTAACTCCAGTCCTCCTTCATTTTCACCAGACAATTAAGGGCTTTGTCCCTGGTGGTCACATTTCTGGGGTGGGTTTATTTTGTTTTTTCATGCTGGTGGATGTCATCTTGAAACTTGAAGAAACAATTCTGTGCATTTGAGATTTCTGCTGTTTTTCCTGTCAAGATCAAAATGCCAGTGGACTCCAGCATCTTTCATTAAGGAACTAGTATAATACTTGTGTATCTCTAGTGGGGTAGCACAATGTGCTTAAAGTAAATTATGAAATTGATTATTTCACAACAATAAAAGTGACTAGAGTCAATTTTGGAAAAACTTACATGCATTTTGCCAATGACCTTGTAGTATTATATGATGTTATGAACATTCATCACACTGTTTCTGAAGCACAGGCCCATATCTTCCTAGAGGCTTTAAATAGCATAAGGGGAAAAAAAATAACAAGATTATTGTACTTTTCCTGGTGCTATACAAGCAAATAATATTAATTACAAAATAGAAAAGGGAAAGATCCTGGATAGAAAATGAGATTCCCTGAAAATGGCAGGGTTGGGGGGAGAGATCCATAGTGGTCCTAGAAAGCAGCACAAAGGAATGCCTGGAAACCCAGGATTTGGAGAGGCAGTGGGATTCCTACAGAAGTGAGGGAAATCCTAGAAAGTAGTGTTGGCATTTTCTTGGAAAGCCAGGAATTGCAAGGAGGTGCCGTTCTGTGCAGCAGTGTGGGCATTGTCAGGAAGCAGCACAGGAAACTCCAAGAAAGTAATGGGGCGTGGGGGGGCTAGTTCTTAGGAAATATTTGGGGGACTCCTGGAAAGCATTAGGGGAAATTCAGGAGCCCAAATGCCTAGATGATGCATACAAGTAAGCCTGATCATTAAGTATTTAAATTTTTTTTTTCTTTAATGTCCTTTTATATAGAGGTACTGGCCTGTCAAAAGATGAAGGTACGAGTAATAATGCTTATGGAGAAATAAAAAGGGTAGATTCTTGCAGCAGAAAGGGGAAGTGGGTCCTCAGTTCTATTACATCTGCACAGTTGACCTATTTCGTGCACTGAGCAATGTGTTTTCAGAAGCAGCCTTTTATGTGGGCTGGGATTTGGCTGCCCGTCTTTGAAGAGCCCTAAGAGTCTGAGTCAAGTTCATGGGTTACTGTGCTGTAGCTGAATCACAGTTTGTCCATCTGAACTGTGATCACTGAAGCATATATAATATGGTTTTCTCTATGTGGGCCACAGGTGAAGGGTATCATTCTGCATTATGCTTTATTTTGATAAAAGAATAGACAGCTGCTATAGAACCAGTCCTGCTTTCAACCCTTTGTGCTTATTTTACATTCTAGTTGTATATTTTCCCCTTCCATAGTGTTGATTATAGCAATTTTTCAATCTGAGTCAGATTTTTTTTATTCTAAGGAAGTCTAATTGCAAGTGTATTTCCCCATTGGATCAATGAGATCTAATCCAACTGACACCTGTGATCCAATCCAAGGCCATCAGTAGAGTTTTGTTGCTGGAGGTATAAAGAAAGAGCAAACCAACTCTCTTGATTGTAGTGGATAGTTGGGCCCACTTTAGGGTTGTATGAAACTGTACTCTTAACACATGTGGCAGTGCTTGGCATTTTAGCAAGCTGATTTATCTCAGTCATGTGCCTGAAACCACAATTGCCTGTAGTCAGTTTGCCAGAAGTGTTAAGGCCAAATGCTGTTGATTTTAAAGGCAGTTGTTGGTGATGAGTCTTGGGTACAGAAAACTAAAGACTGCTTCTGAAAAGCGGATGCTGAATTCCTGTGTATCTGCTTGTTGCAAAATGTCAGGGATAGCTGCCTGCCTTGTAAACTTGTAGAGGTTTTTCAGTCTGAAACAAAATTGAGAATTATTCACTTAATACTTAGCAACATGTCTTTAAAATGCAGTTCACCTCCTGACCATGATTATAGTGTTCATAACCTGAAAAATACAGTTGGCAGAAAAAGTGCTCTCCTGAAGGTTAGGGACAGAAA